TAGTGAGTGGTGACCTCCAAATACGTTTGGTGCAATCGCTAAAGTAATAAACCAGCGTTCATAGATACCCGCACTTATCTGCACACATGCGCAGTAAGTTCTGTTCAGGTGTCGATTCCGGTAAGTTATCTGGATCGCGCTTAGAAATCCACCTCGCTTGCAGGATTTTGAAAATGCGCATTTTCAAAATCCTCTTGCGTTCACACTACTGCATTTATTCGAATTGTGACCTAATTCGCAACTTATCCGGATAACTGAGCGTAGTGTGAACGGGGTATAAGTTAACCTCGTGTAAGATCAAGATTTGTAACCATACTACTAGTAAGTTACTGTAGTCTTATGGCACAGATTCTGAAGTAAAACCTTACTTACTGACAGTAGGGCAACATATAGATTAGACTGGCTTCCTTTGTGGTTAGAAATCCATCAAGGAGTCTGCTGAAATGGCAACTTTTAGGTTAAACTGTACTAGCTTCATTGGAGTTGCACTTTTTGATACAGTTTTCTAGTAAATGGAAATGTTCTTTTTGGTCCAATTGAAATGGCAGTGCCCTTTTTGCAACAGCTGTTAATTCATGGAAATGTGTCTTTTGGTACATCTTAAATGGTAATACCGTCTTTGGTACAAATTAAATGGAAGTGCATCCTTTGGTATAGCCAAAATGGAAATGCGTCTTTAGATGATCATCAACGCGTGGCACACTTAATGCTTTTGGCAGTTGGGTAATTTGTTATTAACATTATCAGATACTTTGCTAGTCTAGTACAGAGGTATGGAAAGCTCGCTGGGACATTTGTCACTGGAAGCTATTTTAGTTTCGGACAGTTTCTTCTTAAAAAGGGATCTAGCCAGAATGACTGTATCAGGGAGAGGACTACTTCTTTGGATTTTCTTCGGAAGATGGTGGACTGCAGCATTAAAGGGACTGTTGTGTGGGTCTGTTTGAAAGGACTGTTTTCGGAAGACAATTTCAATGGACAACAGCAGTGTTCTCCACGACCTGTTTTTAGGTGGCGCTGCGCCACCTTATCTCGGCGCTGAGCCACCTTATTGAGTTTTGTGCCACCTTATGTAAACGGCCCGCCACCTTTATTTTGAGCAGTGAGCAGACCTTCAGATTATTTTCTTGTAGAAAAGTGAGATATTAAACTTGAACTTGCATAGCTTGACTGTCGTTTTTGCATCCCTTTGACATTAACATATCGAAAAGATACATTGTACATTTGCCGCTCACGTACACAGTGTACGTACGCACGACCATAACTGCTCTTCCCCCACCTTATAATTTCAAGTTGTGGAGAACACTGCAACAGTATAATTTAGAAATGACTAATCCGTGGGTCTGTTTCATAGTATTATTGCTGGGGAATAGACTTTTTAGAGGACCATATGTATGCTTCCAAGGACTATATTTCGAAAGACTATAATATTTCAGACTGCCATATTTCCAAGGAGTATTTCAGAAGGCTTTTTTTGTGTTTTTGTAGTTTTGAATTTCCTCAGATGTTAAAAAAAACAGAGCTTTGTAATGGTTGATGTTCTACTAGATAATATAATCAGGTTACTCTGAGCAGTTCCTATTGAGAGACTTTTCCTAGTGGGACCCAGATCGATTGTTGTACAATGTACTAGTAAGCATTGTATTTTTTCTGTACTTTTATCAGCAAAGGGATGTTAACACTCTCAGAAGAACACATGTGGTTTATAATCCGTAGAATACAGTTTTACTGCTTACTAGTTGTACTTGTAGCAGGAGGATTATTTCCAAGAGCTTGTAAGCAAGAAATAATTGAAGGTGGAGTTAAGGTGGAGGGTAATTTTTTTTTCTAGGATTTTTTGTCATAAATGAAGATCACAACCCAAGGAGAAGCAGAGGGTGTTGTCTGGTTTCCTCATTTCCGTGAAGTTGTTGAAAAGATTACCACTCTGAGCTTTAGTGTTTGTGGACATCCTAGTATATAACTTAAAGTGTGCTGGAGAAAATTTAAACTTTCAGCTTGAGATTTAGGGATCACAGTAAGAGAATTGCCGTGGGCTAGACCGGAGTATTGTTTTACTGGTGCAGATTGTATTAAGAATGCATACTGTGGGTAAGGATGATGGCTAGTGCCAAAGAACACATCATTAGGTGATAAAATTCAAGGTTCAAGCTTAGAACATATGTGAGAGCTAGGACAGGTCCCCTTAAGTACTCTGTGCCAGGAACAAGAACTGAGGCTGTGAATAAAGATTATATCGCATAGTTAAATTTTNAGAATGCATACTGTGGGTAAGGATGATGGCTAGTGCCAAAGAACACATCATTAGGTGATAAAATTCAAGGTTCAAGCTTAGAACATATGTGAGAGCTAGGACAGGTCCCCTTTAGTACTCTGTGCCAGGAACAAGAACTGAGGCTGTGAATATAGATTATATCGCATAGTTTTGAAACAAAAATATAAGGGCAGCGACATACCCTTGACGGACGGCCATCTATTTTATGCCAAGTTTGGATTGTTTTTATGACAAATAATCACTTTGGAAATTTTTGCTATTTAAAAAACAAAGCAGGTGTCATCTGACAAGTGACAGGTTTGCATGTCATATGCCTGTATTTCATCCAGTGCAAGTTGTGAGTGTTATGAGAATGCTGAAAATTAAAGAGTCATATTGATGAGAGTCAATTTTTAAAAGTAGGATCAAAAATTCTTTGCAAAATTAATGACATTAAGGGATGTATAGTCAGTTGTTCCTTTTATCTGCAGAAATGCAGGTGTATCTATTTGCCTGCCTGTCTGTTGTGAGCATTCTGAATGGCCACATTTAGTCAGTTTTAACAAAAAGCTTTTAGTCCTAACTCTAAGATGGAGAAAGGAAATAGATTGTAATCCCTCCTGCTTACATGTACCTGTGCCTGTCATGTAATCAGTCTGTAATCTCCGCATTTAGTGGTCAGTATAGTGACCATCGGTCAGCATCATATGGGGATTAAGTAGTGTGGGGCAGTCATCCTTAACCAATACTACCTCAACTCAAGTGCTGAAATGTGCTTTGTTAAAACTGATTGAACGCGACCAGACTTTAGATATAAAACCATTTTATAAATCTACCAGCATGATGCAAAATTCATGTATAATTATTTAGCAAATGCAGCAGTTTGGAAGCTGAAGATGTACACAAGGGAAGATTCTGAAATGGAGAAAAGATCCCTGCAAGCTCAGGAGTGACTCAGGCAGCTGGTTATTTCTAGTTGGACAAATAGCTGACAGAACGTTTCGTTGTTCGATTTTTTATGAGGTACAGGGGTAAATCATGGGGAAATAGGACACATTGGCAAAAACATCTCACCAGATGATCTCAACCCAGTAATAATATGGGTGAACTTGACACATCATAGTCAACTACAGCATACTGCTGACAATGTCATATATTGTGATATTTTGGAGTATTCTTTATAGTGTATAGACTCTATGGAAATTGAAGAGATTCATGTCAAATCTTGCATAAAATTGTTTGCTCGTGGCCGTGTGTATAGAGCTGAATATGGTTGCAAATGACGTGTTACATTTTTGATGGAGATGAAGCAATATTATACCACACCTGATGATAATATGAGGAGTGCTAAGACAGAACTTTGAAGAAGAACACACCTAAGAAGAATTTGATCTCACTTTGGTAGGAATTCAGATCTTTGCAAAATTACTGATTGGTAAACAGAAGGGATATCTCACTGACAACAATTTCATGGTCGAATTATTAGAAAACCAACAAAAAAAGGGAAGTACATTTTTGAAAAAAAAATCTGTCACATGTACTGCTGTCTACTTGCAGTTACTTCTCTTCATTACTAGTAGTCTGCAAGTTCATGGAATTTGAGAAAGTCTAAATTGCAATGCAATTGGATGATAGACACGTCACCATGCAATGTTATCAAAGATGATGATGCTGGTTGTTTCATATTATACATATATGATTATATGGTATTGTTCAAAGGGCATGTATGAGCAGGGAAATTGAACTGAACTGGAAATAAAAGTGGAAATTATTTGATGTCAAAATCACAAAAAGGCTTCATAAGACAGAAAAGAAGGAGGATTTAGGATTAAAAAAGACTGTTTAATGCAATCAAATATGGCAAACATTTGATTGTATCTCCATGTTTAAACATTTTCAGGTGACTGTGAATGATTGTTATATTTCAACATGGTCTCCCCTTCATGATGAAATAGACATGGTGATATATTACAGATTTTGCACGTAGATTTCAGGTGTCAGTTACAAATCTGTTACCTGGGTGGAACAAATCTCACACAAATGGTGACTGGCTGGCTTTGCACTAATTGGATTCATAATTTATGTCCAGATTTACTGTCATCATACATAATTATAGCAGAAGTATGATGTCTGAAACTGAGTCAGCTTTTTATAACCATTATGATTTTATACAAAGGAGGAAATGAACAGGTGCAGAAAAGACAAAGAGTAAAATGTTGATTATTTCTCATAAAAAGACCAGATGAGATGAATAATCGGATATGAATAGAAATATCCATGATGTAAATTGTTATACAGTGCATGACTTGGTTGGCACTATAAACTTTATTTACTGACATTGTGTAAAAAGGAACAACTCATAATGAGCACTGATATATCCGAGCCCCGAGGGAACTCTCATTAACCCATGTGTGTTAATTTAATATTGGAAGCTGAAATTTCAATTTATGGTGCCTGATGTATTTCATTGAAAAAATCAAATTTGATGATAAGGAAAAAGAAGATAAGATTCACCTCGGGCTTGGGGGAACCTACACTGAGACATTTATAAGTGAACAATTCACTATTTTATTGTATTAGTGGCTGACTTCTTATTGATAAAAAATCCAATATTATGACAAATAGAACAATCACGTGAAGCCTAAGGGAAGGCAAAAAGAGGAGCTCATTTCAACTGAACACAACTCCAATGGACATTGGTTCTAAACAGGAGTCTGAATTAGCTTTAAGAAAAGACAGGAAAAAAACCTGCTGATCAGTCACTCAAGGGAACGCAAAATTAGCTTAAAGCAAAACTAAACTACTTCTCAAATTACCCTCATTCCAAGAAATTCCCAGTAATCATCGGTGTCATCTTCAACCATCACTGTTGACTGAGCTCTAGCATCAAGGGTATGAACTTGTTTGGGGACATCTCTTTTACATAGTATGAAAGACAAATCGTCATGTTGTTAACATGCCATTGAAGAAGATTTGACAGCTGTTTTACAGTATGTGATAGTCACAACCTATATTTACATATTTCCCTGCACTGACACTGCTGTAATTGGGATTTCTAAGTGACACGCATGTGTTCTGCTGCTGCTGCTCTGCCAATGACAACTTTGGGAACAGTCGGCAAAATGAAGTTTGGGACAGATATGATTGCTAATTTGAGTGAGTATACCTTACCTGGTTAGTACAGTTCAGTGTTTCATTGGAACTTTTTGAAGGGATTTTTTTTATGTTTTTACATTTTTTATGTTCAGATGTTTTATTTTGTTTTGATTTCTATTTTATTTTGTTCAGTACTGGTAAAATTGTACAAATTTAACATTATGACCTAACATTTGTACATAGAAACAAATAGAGCTATATATTATAACTGGAAACATGAAAATTGTTTCTACACAGTAGGCTAAAATTATTAGTTTATCAGACTTTTTATACCAAGGAATATAATTGTACCAGCATTATATGGTACTTACACACACATTTTATATAAATTTACTAGGCACCAGTTTCTACTAATAGTGAAGTTTTTTTTTTTGTTGGCTATAGTTATATATGACTGGCAATACTAAACCATTGAAGAGTGAATTATAAGCCTGTTTGTTATGTAATCAGTGATAAGACCTTTATTTCAGGAGAGTTTTATAACTTATGTCATCATTCCTTGCAGATTGGGTCACTAGTTAGCTGCATTGGTGAGCAAAAACAATTGAATTTTTATGTTATGAACTAAAAGGATCAATTTACTTCATGAAACCTTTTACCAGAATGGTAATATGATTTAGCTGTGGTATTCACACCTGAATATATTCACCCAAGACTAGTCCAAAGTATACATCTGTGATCTTGTATAGACATGATATATATCAGTGCACTGATGTGTGTCAAATAATTCAAGACCAAGGTAGACAATTTTTCAGCCCTGGTTTAAAACCAGGTTTAAATTCAGCTTTGCAGCTTATCTCACTGAGAAGTTTTTTTTTTTTTTTTTTCGTGATGAAGATATATTAAGAATACTGTAATCAAACAGATGACCCCCAGATTTGTCTACACCTTTGGTGACCACTAATGGAGATGGACACTTGATAAGTGACCAATAATGGTGATAATGGGTCAGGGGTCATTACCCCAGGGCTGCTAACTGTAATTTGAGGCACGCGCTGATGTCTGTGTCATTATTTGTCTTACATCTCTCTCTCTCTCTCTCTCTCTCTCTCTCTCTCTCTCTCTCTCGTGTGTGTGTGAATGTGTGTAGAAGAGGAGGGCGGATTTACTCTCCAAGGTATTTTGTCCTGGTTTATGCATCTCATTTAAAAACAGTTACAATACTGCCTCTAATTGAATAACTGACATTGTCATGTTCAACAGTCACCTCATTAATGTCTAGACTACTACTCAAACCATAATTATCATTAGCTCTACATGTCTGGAAATGCAATACATCACAGGTGGAAACTGGTACTTTGACAAGATAATTTGGGCCTTTGATATCTCTTTCTGTGATATAATACTTTGTAATCTGAGTGCTTCCGTGATAGTGATCTCTAAGTTGCTATGGAAGCCAAAAAGACAACTTCATACAGGTTTGGTAATTTAATCAGATGAGTCAGGTAGAACCCTGTTTTATTTTAAATATTTTGTGCCCCCCCCCCCCCCCCCCCAATTCTCTAATCCCTCTGCCACTATGATAGTTGCATGTAAATGCATTTCATTGAGGACCTAAAATGCCACATATATTATCAAAGCTTGGTTCCTAAAAACCTTGTTGAGATTTTGTAGTTTTTTGTGTATCTGAGTTCTCATTTTCTAAATTTAGAGTCATGAACTAGTTATATAAGCTGGTGAATCTTACTTGTATCTGAAAGTAGAATATTAGAAATAAATATATAGAAATTAGAGTATTAGAATAAATATGGAGAAGTTTTATAGATAATAATATATTTCTAACATTTTCATCAGCATTGGATAGGATTTATATCGGTGGTTATGGTTACCATATATATTGAAAATTCAAGGATTTTTTTTTTGTAAGATAAAATTCTAATGTGCATGATATGTTTTTAATATTAAGATACTACTTAATTAAATATAATCAGATTTATTCAAATTTATCTAGTAGATACCGTATTTATTAAACATCATTGACCACCTACTTATCATAACTTCTAATAATAGCAGCATTTAATGCTGATTAGTAGCACCGACATACATACATGGGATTCTACGCACACAAAATCATTGATCGGTATTTGCCGACTAATGTGGCTGTGCTACACAGAACTCGCAGTATATAGACCCATGATTAGGAGAGCTCTAGCTTTTACACCAGCTGGATTATATACCTGGGATTCAAAATGGCACTTTTATTATAAACGGAAGACTGTTTTTTGAAGCTTTATGTTGTAAATACCAGTGCAGTATTCTATGTGTGATTATTACAGTATTATACTTGGGATGTGCTAGTACATATGATTTAGGTAAGGATCAGAGTCTTTTTACAAAGGTGATTTGTGTACCTGGAATCCAATATGGCACATTTACTAGAAAGAGTTGACCATTTTTTTCAGCTTAAAGCTCGGCAATTGGTGAACACTCCATTTAGGGAACAGATATATAAACAGAAGTAATTACTGTTAGAGTACTGTATGTCATATTGTTATATGAGGCATATGACTAGATGTTTGTTTACACAAAGTGGATTGATTTAGCTTGCTTGGAATCTCAGGTGACAGAATTGACAGAGGATGTGTTTTTGATTTAAGGTCTTACTCAAGCAGCTTTTGTACCTTATTTATTCAAATATATGAACAAGTGGTGACAAATGAAGTCTTGAAGTGATTGGAAAATATTAGTTGGAACTCTAGAACTGTGCAAGTGTCTCATGATGATGATTTTCACCAAAGCGCGTGCAGGAGATGAGTAGGATTCATAAATTATTGTGACACATTGAAGGATGTGACTCTCGAAATAATATCCAACTTTTTTACGAGCTGTCAAACAAAATTTCAGTAACTTTCACACACAGTGAAATATGCTTAGAAATCCAGGGAGGTCAGGTGTGTGATAAATGGCTTTTTTGAATACTACAGCATGGTAGCAACTCTCAAAGGCCAATTTTAAAATTCAAGGATATGAATTTGAACAACAGCCATTACTGAAGTCAAAATTGCAGGTACTAGTGGTTGGTTGACAGGGAAGAAATGAGGGTAACAGCCAAGAAGGTGACACTTAAATTTAAAAAAAACCAGCTTGCAATGATAAGAATATTTATCAACTGAGTCATAAGGATATTTACTCAGCAGTTTATAAACTTTTAAAGTAATATTATTAATATGAATTCAGTAGCCTGAAGACATACACTGGTTGGATGTGGTTTGTGAATGGGACGCTGGATATATAATTATGAAGAATTATCTATTCTAGAATGACAGTACACCTGAATTTTTAAAAGTACGAAAAATTCATGAGGCCATCGAGGTGATAGCTTTANGCAGTTTATAAACTTTTAAAGTAATATTATTAATATGAATTCAGTAGCCTGAAGACATACACTGGTTGGATGTGGTTTGTGAATGGGACGCTGGATATATAATTATGAAGAATTATCTATTCTAGAATGACAGTACACCTGAATTTTTAAAAGTACGAAAATTCATGAGGCCATCGAGGTGATAGCTTTATTTTGTGATTAGTTCACTAAGTGTATTGACTTTGTGGATAAAAGCACTGGGCTTCTTATGAACAAGTGGAACATTCTACCGGTAGGATGTGAATTTTTAGCAAATTGTCCGACAGGGAAGTACATGTACTAACTAATGATATTAATGTTAATCCAACAGTTCATGACTATGTATGGAATGTGTATTTGGTGAAAAATGACTGCTCATTCTTCTTACACTTGATCCGTTTTTAAATTAAAGACAGCAGTGTGAAAAGCTAGTATATATTCAAGGATATTTGAACCAGAGAACAAAATTCCAGATGAGAAACTGCAAAGTGATGGATATTATATATTATGACATATTTTGATATGTTATATTGGATATGGACAAAATCAGCCCACATACTGTATCAACATTTTGACAACACATTCAAGATTTACAGTGCCCAAAATTCAAGAGGCTCGCTGAGCTTGATTGTTTGAAGCTGGAATTAAATTCTGTAGATCTGTGTACTCTATTGTTGGATAAATTTTGCCTTGCAAAAGAAAGACTCGATATGCAGTGTTTTGTCTAGGCAGTTTAACTTCTGGCTTATCATTTTGTCAATGAGTGACTTTATTTCCTTGATGGCAAAATGCAGCATAGGATTTAATCGTTGATTCTAAACGTCTCAAACAATCAAAATTTTTGACTTGGGATTTTTCTTGGATGAGTGCATTTGATTTTTGTGAATGCAAGCAGTTGGAAATCTGTTTGATTTTAGGATAATATATATTTATACTGAAACCACTGAATTAGAAGATTTCCGGATTTTTCACTAGCAGAGAGCAATTGCTTTTCTTTAAAGAATTTTCATGAAATGAGGATTTCGCAGCATCCAGGTATGTAATACTTTACATATATTCACTCACCTGTATGAGAGTATGAACCAGTGCACACATGCAGTTGCATACATGCACTCAAGTACACACATATGCATGGATGTACATAATGTCCAAATATGCACAGACTCATTTTCTAGTTGCTTTAAATTTTTTGTTAATGAATCACTTGCAAGTGACTGTCCTATTGTATAGGACAAAAAGACATGAAAGCCAGTAATCACCTGTCACAATATATAAGGATTCTATCTATAGTCCTGTGTGACATTTATCATGTTTCCTCCAGGATCTGTTCTGTTCAGTAGCATGTTAATTAATTAAAAAATGTTTTTAGACTTAATCATAAAGAAGTCTGTTTGTTACCATCCTTACTATTATTAATATATGTCATCTATCATTGGTTGAGGGAAGGGGGGGTAGCACATTGAATACTGTGACTGGTCACTAGTAAGTGAGAGATTTGACATTAACACCCTCAGCGCGTTAACCTCCATATGTGTGTGTGTGTGCACGCACGTGTATTCGTATATTAACAATATCAAACACGCAATATACGTTTGACACATGTATGTATTACAGCAGTATATACAGATACTGTAACCTAGACAAGCTGATTATCTTATCAACAAGAGGGTCAGCTGACGGAAGTAATAACAAGTCTGACTGCGTTAACGAATGCATCAGTAAAACACGTACACAAACAGTATTACTGTGTTTCCAGTGTGGGGGCATTACCATGCTTACATGAGAGACCTGCAGGTTAAGTATAGCTTGTGTTTTCAAATATTGCTTAATGAAGATATTCTGTTCATGGCTTCCTCAATTGGCAAGTGGTAAAGAAAAAAATATATTTTGTGCCTTTCTTAATCTGGTGAGTTGCAAAAAAAAGTGAAAAAAAAAATACATGTTTCACTCGGCTATATTCTTATCACTCAAAAGGCTTCGAGAGACTCTGTTCATGACCAGGCTTTAATAATGAGACAAAGGGAGTGAACAGGTACTCAACGAAACCTGGAAATTACCATGGATAGGCAGGGAATTTCTGGTGATCAATCAACCATACTGCACTTAACTGTGGTTGCTATGGTGATTTAGCTTAGATGTGTTTTAGGATAATTTTGTGGAAGGAGAGGCAGTGAGCAGTGAATGTTGGCGACACTTATTTTTTGCTTGCAAGCGTTCACTCGTCTCTCTCTCTCTCTCTCTCTCTCTCTCTCTCTCACACACACACACACACGCAGCGTAAAGGATTATCAGTTTTGAAGTTTGTCTGATAAAGATATGAAAATCCTCAGTCAAAAGGCAGTGTTGGAAGTGTGTTGTCTTTTCTCAATTTTGGGAGCTGCTGCATCCTGATTAAAGCCAACACCAACATAAATCGAACCTTGAGTTATTACAGTAAAATGGCAACTGCGTATTGTTACTGTTATAGCTGTAACGAGCAGCTGTGTTCTGCAAAATCAATAATTTGTTATTGCATTGTAGTGTGACACGTTCTATTGGCGTAGAAGGTCTGGTAGATAAAATGACCATCAGTGACGGTGGAAAAGTATCGATATTTTGATTTACTGGGGGAGCCTCAGTATTTTCCTTTTGAAGACAGATTTGATCTTCATCAAATGTTGGAAAATGTTATATTTGTGCTAGAAAATTAGATTTCTGCCAATTGTTTAAGTTTTCTTTGGCAAGGATAAATTATGTTTTGTAACTTTTTCAGTTTGTCAATATTTTGGTGCAGAATATTTTGGTTGGGCTGTAATATTGTGCAGGTCTTTGGCCAGAGTGCTGTCAAAATGAAGTCAGAAATTACACAGTATCAGACGCGACACCGCTCTTGCCTAGTACGCGATGTGATAGTGACGATTCTCAGCGGGGTTGAATAACATTGCATCACCACTCAAAATTTGTTCAGGGTATGATACTGTGTAATGCGATCTGACACACACCTTGAAAACGGGCAGTGTGGTCTGATCTACCGGTGAATTCTGGATCATTTGGTGCCGAGTCTGGTAGTTGGGTAGGCCTGATGTTCATAGCCACTAGATCTAAATTTGGATTCAGACCACTCCCTGCCAATGGGCTTGTCATCCAATTAAGTCCAGACCATTGATTACACGTCCAACTCCCTCTGCCTGAAACATCATATTGATCGAATTTTGCAGCTTTGTTATCATGAACGTGAGAAATGACAAGTTGTCTAGACACTGACTTTAGAATAACACTGGGATCCAGTAATGATAAATCTATAGGATTCTCAATAAAGTTTATCTACAGTATAGGAATTGTTACGTACACAGACTCTTGATTGGATTGTCTGAAAAGTTTGATGTTGTGACGGGGAGATTTCAAATTATATCATATTTGCTTTGGAAGATCCAATTGTGGCCTGTTTTCAGTATCCTTCAAAGGATTTTTATCTGGAAGATTTACTCTTCTTAACGAGTTATGGGCATGGGTATTATATTTGTGGGAAAATGAAAGGTTTTCTGATTTTTAATTTTTTTTTCTTTTTTTGTGTGTGTATGCAATTGTCCTATAATGGAATTTATGTCTCAAGTAATTATTTGTAGGATTTTCTTTATACTTTGTGAAAGTTGAGATAAGATATCAGTTGATAAAATTAGTACAAGTTCAGAATAGAAGCAAAGAAAAAATTAGAACACAAAAATACAGTTGGATATAGTAAGATGGATAAGTAAAAATTTTGTTAAGTTGTTGTTGTTATTATTGTTATCAAATATGGCATCTGAAACTGGTTTCAAAAATAATAATAATGATAATTCTCAAGTTACCAGGCCAATATTTTTGGAATTCCCTTTCCTTGATTGAGATTTGAATTGATCAGCTTTCTACCCACTTATAATTGTTTCTTTACCTTTAGTTACTTGTTTTTGTTTCAGACTATGACGGGGTATGATATATTTCAGCAAATGACCAAATCAGTATTTTAACTTCATGTACCTCTAGTAACTGAAAGTTACTTAAAAGATATAATATTATGTATTATTACCGACTATGTTGATGAGAGAGATGAGATGTGAGTTAACTTAAAAAATATATGTATTATTACAGACTACGGTATGTTGATGGGAGAGATGAGATGTGAGTTACAAGTAACTGTATATATTTATGATTACAGACTATGTGATGGGAGAGACGAGATGTGAGTTAACTGTATATATTTATGATTACAGACTATGTGATGGGAGAGACGAGATGTGAGTTAACAGTCCTTGATGTGGCAGAGACCCTGCAGCAGAGATATGCTTTCATATCAGGTATTTCTTAATTAGACTTTAGGCTTAACATCTTAAAACTTCAAAAAAAGTGTGGGGTTGCATTGTTGCATGGCCATTTAGATTGTGACTATTTTACTATTTAAAGCCATGTTTGTGAAAACCATAGTATATTTCAAGTTAGATTTTAGAGTTTAAAGTGAGTATGAAGCTGCATTTATATTCGACTTGCGACTGTTTAACTTAGTGCAGCAGAGTCAGACTTTTATGTCAGGTTGAGACCTGTACATAACTGAGACTTAAAGAGTGTAAGGACGCCTTTTCCAATGGAGTTTTGATGGTTTAATTGGTTTAGTGCAGTAGAGACATGCTTTCAACTCAGATTTGGATTTATCTCCCCCCCCCCTTTCCCAATCCCCCACCTATGCCTATGTGCAGCATTATAATAAAGCTTACCACCAAACATCTGCTTCCTAGAACAATGTTTTAACTGAGCTGAACCAGGGGCTCTTTCAGAATCTCAAATTAATAAAAACAATTATATTATAACAGTCACAAAGTAAACTTACACATATAGTTGACCCAGAGCTCTCTCCCAAGCACTACAGTTAATATGTCTATATCTAATTGATTAATTAAGCAGATTGAGATTGAATCTTACAGTCTTGTTGTTAATTAATAATTCATTGATAATGCGCTGAATGCAGTATGATTAATTGGCATTAAGGGATTTCCCAATCAGAGAGAAATCTTTGAATGTCCTCAACATTGTAGTGAATAAATTAATGTAATGTGTTGTGTTCCTGCACACCATTAAATGAATAGTCAATCAATAATGCTTGATTCAAGAACAACAGAGAATCAGAATTGAGTACGGTAATTCTCCAATCTATACGAACGCCGCAATAATTACGAACGAAACGTTTTTTCTCTGAATCTGAATTTTTTGTCTCCGTTCTGTACGAACGATCGCTAAACTCACCTTGGGCACAATTTAAATTTTCCGAACGCAAGAAAGTGTGCCCAATTGAAACTCGCCCCATGATTCGTCAAAGCGAGTTTTCAGACCACCGTTCCAAACAAAGGAACTGCCACTTGACAGGAGAGATTGTTATCATGTATTTGTGCTGTTTTTGAATGAGACGATAGAAGGACGCAACCTGCCCGCCGGCAGCTGCAGGCCAGTTTTTAAACCCTATTGTTATTGAGAAATTATTGAAAGCATCAGTACACATAAATTACTTACTGTTTATTATCATTTCTTAACTTCTGCCGGCCGACTGGATCATCAACATCCGCCATCGGTGTTTCACCAATAACTGGTTTCCAGTAAAATCTATAAACGTAAAACCCACGCACAACAGAAGAGTATGAGAAATCCATAGTCAATGATTGAGTTTTTCATTTGCTTTTGGTAGTCATTAGGAAATTAAATTTTTAAGAGGAGTTCTGTCTTGTATTGTATTTATTATTTTTTTTAATTTGAGTTGTGATAAAGTTCATGCTTTTTGGTTTGTTTGTTTGTTTGTTTTTCCTTGTTAAAGACCTTGTCTCATGAACAACTATTAGGTAAACCTTACTGATATTGGTGATTGTGAAACATAAAGGTGCCGTATGACTTTATACAAATTTGCCTGCAGTTTTCTGTATTTTTTCTAATTAAGTTTACATTGATTGCGTGCAAATTAATATTCTGTAAAAGACTTTCATAAATAGACGTGAATTGAGCTGATGTTATTTTTTATATCAAGTATAATCTCTATTAACGTCAGTGATATCTACTGTGAGGAGTTTCAAGTATTTTGTTTTTACGGAAGAAATTTATGTAGGCCTAATGGGGGGTGACATTATTAATATTGCAAATTTTCTATATGTGAAATCATATTAAAAGTAAACATGCAATGAATAAAATATGCAACTGGATACGCAAATATTCTTGTCTGTTTTTGACAGAAGTTGGGAAAAACGATGTTGTCCTGTCTTGGTAAAACATAACAGGGAAAAACGATGTTGTCTTGTCTTGGGAGAAATGTACCTCTCTAGTATGAAGAAATTGTTTCTTAACTTGAATTCCCGACTTTTGTTTAGTTTGTTTTAATTCATTGCAATATCGCAAGAATAATTTGTTTGTGCTAAAAGCTGATCACAGTGATTTAATCTGAAAGTAATGCTTACACTTAGCAATGTAAGTAAGTGGAGATAACTTCCGGTACAGCCGTATTCCATTCGTATTTCAATGGATACGAACGCGTGGCAATTTTTAGCAGACTGAATTTCAAGCCTTACGAACAAAATGATTATCTTCCAAAAATAATTAATTTAAATCGTTCGTATAGATTGGAGAATTACCGTATATCTAAGAAATCTGACATTTATTAATGATATTTTTCACCACCAGGTGGCAGGTCGAGGGATGGCTGTCCAATCATGTCGCTGCCAGACAATCCTCACAACTCTGAAGTCACAGAACAACAGTACCAGGATGTAGTGACATACCTGTGCAGTATACCATCGTAAGAAAATTTAACTTCTCCTTTTCATTTTATAAATTAAAGGCACTCTTGCACGTTGCACAGTAATCCCTCATTACGTAAAATGACATAAGTAATGAATTTTTTTTGCAATTTGAACCTCTAGGAACAGATAACAATGTGTCATGGCTCATTTTAATAACTTACATATTAGTACTTGTTGTGAAAGATTGTCGGAAAGTTTTGAAATTTAAGATGTAAGAAAAATAAATTACAAGTGATGAATATTGATTTTGCAATTTTGTAATTTGTAAGTAATAATCAGAATGTGAAGAGTTTCACATTTTATCTTGAAACTTTTGCTCACTGGTTGAATAATTTAAAGCATATCAGCATTTGAACTAGCACTAACAGTACATAACCACTTACCTACAACCATTGTGAATTTGGAAGCCATTTGAAAGATGTATTGTAAATGATCAGTGCTTTAGTCTAGTATTAACATATATTGACAGATAGACAAATGAATACAAGTGCTAGTATATATATATATATATATATATATATATATATATATATATATATATATACACACTTATAAATGTGGCTATTTAAACACATTAACTATTAGTAACATTGACTTATCTACCGCATTTTCTGCAGCGACATTCGTGATGTTACCCCAGGAAGGGAGAATAAGGGGTTGAGGTACTGGCTGTTACAGTAGATGTTTCTCCCCCCTCCTACTGTTTATCAATGTGTTTGTGTGTCTGTATGTAGTTATGGATTAGAATTTCAGCAAAAAAGAAACAAATTTTATCAACCATGTCCTAGGAACCTGTGTTTTAGCTGCACACTCGAGGCCCTTTAAATTTATGATAAACGCTGCATGCCCTTCACTAGGGCTTGGTATATAAGGACCCATTACTAGGGTCTTTTTACTATAGGTATCGGTATGTGTGTTTCAGGAACTTTTTGACATTCCTGTTAAAGAGCCCCACATTTTGGTACTTGTATAAAATTAAAGATACATATTAGTAGAGACCTTTCATTTTGGGCTCTTTTATACATCTTAGACTATATAATGTGCCATGGGTCCCTGAACAAGACCCTGAAGTACAGCTCCGTACATGTTCTCCTTTATAACAAATTACTACAGGTCCTTCAGTAATTTAATACATCCCTGTTTGTGTGAATGGCAATAATCATAGATACTTTTTTAAAAATATCAATATTTTAGAGATTTTATATTTGATCATAGATGTAAATCTTACTGGACAACGGCACCTGCTGTATGTTCATTAATGTGTAGTATTTCCATGCATCTCTTTTCATTGAGCTTCACTCTAATCCTGTTATGTGTAGCTGTAATGTTTTTCTATTCTCACCTAATGGCAGTAGCTCATATTATATAAATGCGTATCTGTGCTTTTATCGACATTCATAGTCATTAGATATGATAGCATTGTGTTTTCTTCATTTCTCTTGCATTGTAAATGTGCCAGTAGTTTTGACTGGAATATTCTGATATGTAATAGCTTTTTGTCTGTCTTTTCATCATTTCATAAGTGTAACTAGTACCATCCATTTATCTGTCTTATCGTCTGTGCTAAAGTGTAAACGTGTAGTGCTATTTGTCTACTACTTTTGTGTCTTTTTAGGCATATCTCTGTAATGTTCCATATTTTTTCTAAGCTACAGGTATATGTATTAGGCTTCGTTCACATGGAATGTCTATTTTCTAAAAATCTATTTTCTATTCGTGCTATCTTATGATCACGGTCTGTGCCCTGANTCGCCTCTCTCATCCTCTAGTTTTGGTTGGGCTGTAATATTGTGCAGGTCTTTGGCCAGAGTGCTGTCAAAATGAAGTCAGAAATTGATGTTTTAATTAGAAGAGAAGATACATACTAGTAAATATGTTTGTATGCAGGAGGTATGGTTGAAGGTTAATTTGTGGTTCCCATGGAAATGGAGATTACCACGCACATACATGCACATGTACACACACACACACACACACACAGAGAGAGAGAGAGAGAGAGAGAGAGAGAGAGAGTATTCAGCAATTTCATATAGGCCTCTAAACAAATGCACTTTTTTACCATGAAACTACACATGTTCATAGCACTTAGATCAAAATTTGGATTCAAACCACTCCCTGCCTACAGGCTTGTCATCCAATTAAGTCCAGACCATTGATTACACTTCAAACTCTCTCTGCCTTAAACATCATATTGATCAAATTTTGCAGCTTTGTTATCATGAACGTGAGAAATGACAAGTTGTCTAGACACTGACTTTAGAATAACACTGGGATCCAGTAATGATAAATCTATAGGATTCTCAATAAAGTTTATCTGCAGTATAGGCATTGTTACGTACACAGCCTCTTGATTGGATTGTCTGAAAAGTTTGATGTTGTGACGGGGAGATTTCAAATCATATCGTATTTGCTTTGGAAGATCCAATTGTGGCCTGTTTGCGGAATCCTTCAAAGGATTTTTATCTGTAAGATTTACTCTTCTTAACGAGTTATGGGCATGGGTATTATATTTGTGGGAAAATGAAAGGTTTTCTGATTTTTAATTTTTTTCCCCTTTTTTGTGTGTATGCAATTGTCCTATAATGGAAATTATATCTCAAGTAATTATTTGTAGGATTTTCTTTAGACTGTGTGAAAGTCGAGATAAGATATCAGTTGATAAAATTAGTACAAGTGCAGAATAGAAGCAAAGAAAAAATTGGGAAACAAAAAAATAGTTGGATGTAGTAAGATGGATAAGTAAAGATTATGATATTAAGTTGTTGTTGTTGTTGTTGTTGGTATCAAAGATGGCATCTGAAACTGGTTCCAAAAATAATAATACTTATAACAATATTTCTCAAGTTACCAGGCTAATATTTTTGGAATTCCATTTCCTTTGATTGAGATTTGAGTTGATCAACTTTCTATACACTTATAATTGTTGTTTTACCGTAAGTTACTTGCTTTTGTTTCAGACTATGAAGGGGTATGATGTATTTCAACAAATGACCAAATCAGTATTTTAACTTCATGTACCACTAGTAACTGAATCAGATAGTTTCTTTAAATTTATATATTTATGTATTATTACAGACTATGTGATGGGAGAGATGAGATGTGAGTTAACTGTATATATTTATGATTACAGACTATGTGATGGGAGAGACGAGATGTGAGTTAACTGTATATATTTATTATTACAGACTAAGTGATGGGAGAAACGAGATGTGAGTTAACTGTATATATATATTTATGATTACAGACTATGTGATGGGAGAGACGAGATGTGAGTTAACTGTATATATATATTTATGATTACAGACTATGTGATGGGAGAGACGAGATGTGAGTTAACAGTCCTCGACGTGGCAGAGACCCTGCAGCAGAGATATGCTTTCATATCAGGTATTTCTTAATTAGACTTTAGGATTAACATCTTAAAACTTAAAAAAAAAGTGTGGGGTTGCACTGCCATTAACATTGCAACCATTTTACTATTTAAAGCCATGTTTGTGAAAACCATAGTATATTTTCAGTTAGATTTTAGAGTTCAAAGTGAGTATGAGGCTGCATTTCTATTCCACTTGTGACTGTTTAACTTAGTGCAACAGAGCCAGACTTCTGTGTCAGGTTGAGACCTGTACATAACTGAGACTTAAAGAGTGTAGGACGCCTTTTCCAATGGAGTTTTGATGGTTTGGCTTAGTGCAGTAGAGATGTATGCTTCCCCTCAGATTTGGATTTATCTCTCCCCCCCCTTTCCCGATCCCCCACCTATGCCTGTGGGCAGTATTATAATAAAGCTCACTACCAAACATCTTCCTAGAACAATTTTTTAACTGAGCTGAACCAGGGGCTCTTTCAGAATCTCAAATTAATAAAAACAATTATATTATAACAGTCACAAAGTAAAATTACACATATAGTTGACCCAGAGCTCTCTCCCAAGCACTGCAGTTAATATGTCTATATCTAATTGATTAATTAAGCAGATTGAGATTGAATCTTCCAGTCTTGTTGTTAATTAATAATTCATTGATAATGCGCTGAATGCAGTATGATTAATTGGCATTAAGGGATTCCTCAATCAGAGAGAAATCCTTGAATGTCCTCAACATTGTGGTGACTAAATTACTGTAATGTGTTGTGTTCCTGTATACCATTAGTCAATCAATAATAATTGAAATAAGAACAACAGAAAATCAGAATTGAGTAAATTTATAAAGTCTGACATTTATTAATGATATTTCTCACCACCAGGTGGCAGGTCAAGGGATGGCTGTCCAATTATGTCGCTGCCAGACAATCCTCACAACTCGGAAGTCACGGAACAACAGTACCAGGATGTAGTGACATACCTGTGCAGTATACCATCGTAAGAGAATTAAACTTCTCCTTTTCATTTTATAAATTAAAGGCACTCTTGCACGTTGTACAGTAATCCCTCATTACGTAAATTGACATAGGTAATGAATTTTTTTTTTTTTTTTTTGCAATTAGAACCTCTAGGAACAGATAACAATGTGTCATGGCTCATTTGAATTATTTATATATTAGTAGTAAGTTGTCGTGAAAGATTGTTGAAAAGTTTTGAAATTAAAAATTTAAGGAATATAAATTACAAGTGACTAAAATTGATTATGTACCAGTAATTTTAAAATGTGTAATTGAAATAAGGTAATTGTTTGGAATTTTTTTAAAAGTAATAATCAGAATTGTTAAGAGCTTCACATTTTATCCTGACACTTTTGCTCACTGGTTGAATAATTTAGAGCATATCGGCATTTGAATTAGTACTAATAGTACGTAACTACTAACCTACAACCATTGTGAATTTGGAAGCCATTTAAAAGAAGCATTGTAAATGATCAATGCTATAGTTTAGTATATATATTAACATTATATATTGACAGATAGACAAATGAATACAAGTACTGGTATAAACATTTATATTTATATTTATATACTTATAGATGTTGCTATTTAAACACATTAACTATAAGTAACATTGACTTATCTACCGCATTTTCTGCAGCGACATTCGTGATGTTACCCCAGGAAAGGAGAATAAGGGGTTGAGGTACTGGCTGTTACAGTAGATGTTTCTCCCCCCTCCTATTGTTAATCAATGTGTTTGTGTGTCTGTATGCAGTTATGGATTAGAATTTCAGCAAAAAAGAAACAAATTTTATCAACCATGTCCTAGGAACCTGTGTTTTAGCTGCACACTCGAGGCCCTTTAAATTTATGATAAACGCTGCATGCCCTTCACTAGGGCTTGGTATATAAGGACCCATTACTAGGGTCTTTTTACTATAGGTATCGGTATGTGTGTTTCAGGAACTTTTTGACATTCCTGTTAAAGAGCCCCACATTTTGGTACTTGTATAAAATTAAAGATACATATTAGTAGAGACCTTTCATTTTGGGCTCTTTTATACATCTTAGACTATATAATGTGCCATGGGTCCCTGAACAAGACCCTGAAGTACAGCTCCGTACATGTTCTCCTTTATAACAAATTACTACAGGTCCTTCAGTAATTTAATACATCCCTGTTTGTGTGAATGGCGATGATAGATACATTTTTAAAAATATAAATATTTTAGAGATTTTATATTTGATCATAGATGTAAATCTTTCTGGACAACGGCACCTGCTGTATGTTCATTAATGTGTAGTATTTCCATGCATCTCTTTTTATTGAGCTTCACTCTAATCCTGTTATGTGTAGCTGTAATGTTTTCCATTCTCACCTAATGGCAGTCGATCATATTATATAAATGTGTATCCGTGCTTTAACGACATTCATAGTCATTAGATATGATAGCATTGTGTTTTCTTCATTTCTCTTGCATTGTAAATGTGCCAGTAGTTTTGACTGGAATATTCTGATATGTAATAGCTTTTTGTCTGTCTTTTCATCATTTCATAAGTGTAACTAGTGCCATCCATTTATCTGTCTTATCGTCTGTGCTAAAGTGTAAACGTGTAGTGCTATTTGTCTACTACTTTTGTGTCTTTTTAGGCATATCTCTGTAATGTTCCATATTTTTTCTAAGCTACAGGTATATGTATTAGGCTTCGTTCACATGGAATGTCTATTTTCTAAAAATCTATTTTCTATTCGTGCTATNATGATCACGGTCTGTGCCCTGAATATCCCGCCGCATAATTACTGGCAGCGCGAGCCAGTTACTTATAGTAACTTATAGTAACTGGCTCGCGCTGCCAGTAATTACGCCACGGGATATTCAGGGCACAGACCGTGATCATAAGACATACCGCAAATAGAAAATAGACATTGCATGTGAATGAAGCCTAAGTTTAATGTTGGTGACAGTGTGGGTCCTTGTTCTCTGTGTTTATATAATAATAATAATAATATTTTTGAAATGATTATTTTTCTAAAAAATTGTAACAAGTAGATCAGAATTTTACATGAGTGCAATAAAATGATTAATATAATATTACATGTAGCCTAGGACACTGTTGCAACATGATTCTGAAACTTGTAGTTTGTTAGATGTTGTTGCTTATCTTATTATATTGTTCTGAAATGTGTTTATAGGCAATCAGGAAATTGCAGTTAGGATGCAGATTTGACAAAACCATTATTTTAACATGATTATTTGATAATCTTAGAAGTTTGTTAAGTATTAATTCAATTGTCATGTATGTATATAACTCTGGTATTGTGGAAGGGGATATCCAGTGTCACACTGCAGGGTGCTGCCACCTGGTGTGGTAATGGAGAACTTTTGACTTCAGGGCAAATCTTTTAAATGAAGAGCTTTATTTATTTATTTATTTATTTATTTATTTATTTATTTATTTATTTTTTTATTAATTTATTTATTTATTTATTTCCTGGTTTCTATTTTCAGCTTGAGGGACATAGATCTTGGCTTTGTGGTGGTCATAGACAGACGCAATGACAAATGGAGCTCTGTGAAAACCATCCTGCTCAGGATATCTGTGAGTTCAACGGTCTTGTTGATGATGTTGTTCAGTAACTCTGCTTTTACGCCTTGTTGGCCATAGTTGTATGTATGTATTACATAATTCATCACCTTATAACGTGAATTATCATTTATCTTGAATAGATGTGAGGTCAGATTTTCATCGGTATTTGTGACAATAACTATTGCTATTTACATTGCCTTATTTGAATCCTCACATAACTCTGACACATTTTCCTACAATAGAAAATTTGAACAAGAAATTTGACTAATTTTTTATCAGAGCTAATGCCATGTATGATTTCTGGTATTTATTATATGATATTTCAGACCTTTTTTCTTCTCTTGCAGACATTCTTCCCAGCTCTTATCCAAGTAGCATATATAGTCAAGCCTGCTGGCTTCTTCCAGAAACACATCTCCGACATTGGTTACAAGTCTGTGAAAGAAGATTGTAAATTTGAGGTTAGCAGGCCTATACATACACAGAGAAATACAATAAAGAGAAAACATAATCGACAGTTTTCAAGCAAAATGCAAATTTATTTTGGCTTTTTGGACAGTGTGGTCATAAGTGACATTTTCTGGACATCATACTTGTTGGTAAATTTGTTTGAAAACTTGTCTGATGGTGGCATCTGATTCATGATTATAAAGTGATTCCTGGCATGTGTGTGTGTGTGTGTGTGTGTGCACGTGCACGCATGCGCACGTTTGTGTTGGGGGGGGGGGAAGAAATGTCCTTTTTGGGACAATTTTGATTAAAGAGGGACAAGTCTGAATCAAAATTTCATCTGTTAGGTTATGCCATTTTCAAATTGGAATTAATTGGGAGGTTGGGGGGGGGGGAGAAGATAAAGTATATACATTAATCAAATATTTTAGCATAAGCCCAACCACCATAAAGCTCAATTCTCATACATGTATGCTCGCTGTATTTCAGGTTATAATGTGCAATAATGTCCAGGAGTTGTACAGTCACATAGATAGGGACCAGTTAACACAGGACCTGGGGGGCCTCATAGCCTACGATCACGCCGAGTGGATACAGCAGAGAGCCGTAAGTATGGCAGGAGATGAGAAGGCATGGACTTGTGTGCTGCCCCCTTTTGTTCACCGTGGCTTTGTTTTCCATGAAAAACCCAAATAGAAATCCTGGTTGTTTTTGTTTCTCTTTTTAGTGACTTGATGAAATGAAAAGTAAGCAAGTGATAATTAATAAAAGACACATAATTAAAAGAGAGAAATGAAAAATAAATAGGTATCAGTATTTATTGTTAGGATAATAAATGGTTAAACATCACAAAAAAAAATACTCTTAGACCCCATTTCCATAGATTTTAGATCGATCTATCCCTGTGGGGAGTCTCACTAGATTACTGTCAGCTTTGGCGGCTTAAGCGTCTGTCCCGCCTACTGAAAGCTGTAAGGGGGTAATTAACTATGGTGCGCGCTCGGCTGACTGCAATTTAGCGTGAACCCCCAGGGAGTTAGGTCGATCTAAATCTTAATCTCTGGATCGATCTAAATCTGTGGGAATACACCCTTATGTTTGTGGTATATCCTGCATATTTTGCTAATTTTCCAGGCCATAGAAAAATTCTCTGCTAACACCCACCATGTCTCAGGTCAGCTACAGCAATGCACAGAACGCCTCAGCGAAACTGAGCTCCCCAATGATGTCGCGGGGACAGAGGCCCTTCTCCGAGATCACGGCCTAGAGCGTATGGAGGTGAAGGAGGAGTTGAAAAGCGTCGTAGAGCATGGAGAAACATTGCTCAGTTGTATTCGTGAGCCAGAGCTGGAAAGTGGACAGGCAGAAATGGTGCTAAGTGTGTCAAAAGTGGTGCATGTGACTGCAGTGGAAAGGTAATTTATTGCGTAGTGTGTGTGTGTGCGCATGTGTGTGTGCACATATGTGTGCGTGTATTAAATGGTATGTACTGTCACATACATACGTATTACGCACATTATGTATATTTGCATGTTAGGTATTTTATGAATATGATTGAGAGTGGGATACACATGTGACATTTGTTAATTATAAGAAGTCAGTGTATTAATATGTGAAAGATAGCCAAGAAACTAGTCTTAAATTTATATGAGTGCAGTAGAGAATATAACTCAAGGCAAGGAATTATGGATGCATGCGTACAGTTGTGTGCGTATACATGTGTTTGTACCATACACGTGTATTGGCATGTGTCTGCTTTATGTAAGAGTTTTTAAGCATTCATGAATATGACTTGGTGGTTGTGAGAGGTTTTCACCGTTGGGGGCCATGAATGCTGGTATATAAAAACACTTACTAATAGCTAAAGTTTGATGCTGGATAATATAGCTTTCTTGAGTGCCTTGATGTACCTAGTGTATAATAATTATAATTATTCTCATATTATATCGAGGCATCTTGGGACTTTCTTTAATTCCATTAACAATAGCTAAATCTTTCACATTTAATTGAGTATAATATGAAACATTGACTCCTTTTTACCTTTAATAGTCATACGTTTCCCTGTGCTATAAATGGTAACGTTACAGTTGTATCAAAAACAAAGTGAGACTAAATAATTCATCTTATGCATTAAAAATATTGTAAAAAATGGGAATTGGTAGATCTTTTGCATTTTGACTTTGGAATAACAGGTGTAGATGTAGATTTGATAAATATTGATCAAGTGATGGATGGATGAGTCAGATAATGCTATAGTTATCAATTATTTACTTCAAGGCCCGCATTATCTTTCATGTGTTGTATCTGTAAGCAGAATACACATGTTCTGAGACGTGTTTGCAGTCTAGCTGCGAGGCCTTTAGTATGGACTGCACAACCTCAACGGATCTTGTGATGACATGATGTGACCATTTTTTCATCTCAGTGACTAGGAGTGTGTGTGGGACAGCAGATGGATTAGATTGGCTTATTATGATTAGGCATTGTGATCATACAGGCTTACAGGCCATCAAGGCACCTAAGTAAAGTCAACTTAGCTAGACTGTGAATGTGCCTGGAGTGTACTCAACTTAATGACCACAGTGGCCTATAATAGTAGCAAGTTAGAATAGCCGCTATGTAGCAATGGAGTGAACATGCATTTAAAAAGCTGGATAATGGGGAAAAATGAAGGTTGGTACTATATACTGAATGAAATTGTATATACTGTGGATTATGGTTTGAATATTTGCAATGGGTTAAAAGATTTTTGTTGTTGTGGTTCTGTTTCTGAAAGCAGTTAGTATATGTCCTGCTAAACTGCAACGCCAGTAGAATTTCTGAAAGCAGTATTTGTCCTGTTATACCGCAGTGCCAGCAGATTTAGGTGTGCTTGCCTAGATTTAGTTAGATATTCTGTCCAAGAAGAAGGCTTAAGATATGATATAATTGGAGTTCAGTTAAACTAGATGAGGATTCACTTCACATCATAACTGTATGTAGTACTTTTAGTGATTGGTGGATTTTGTATTATTTTGAATGTAGCTTAGATTTTTCAAGAATACTTGCATAAGGTGGGTAAAAATGGGAAAATATTAGTCAAGATCTACCCTTCAAATATAGAAGTGGTAAAAATATATTTCTGTAGTTATCAAAGTATTTTCTGTGAGGAGATGACTTGCAAATAGTTTAGGCTTTAGACTATTATTTATAATTTTAAAGTTACCTATTACTGTAGCTTGACCAGGGTTCCCATATTATAGAATGTGGTAAACATTTTACATAAAAATTGTTTGAAAAATTGAAAAATGAAGACAGTTCCATTGTTAGAACTCAATGAAATCTATAATAGATTATGCAGAATATCAGGGTAATGTCAATTTTCATCTTTTTTTTTCTGAGAAAGAGAGATAGGATTGGGAGTGGATCCCCCTTACTTTCAGTGTGACAATTTAATGTATGCAATGCATCTATATATTAATGTGCATGTTACCACAGTAACTTAAAGCTGGTGACATATTGTTTCGGTTTTATAATGATATAGTAGCTAGAAAACAGTTTTGAACTCATCAGAATATGACACCTTACTCTACTGTAACAGTTACAGTGCTTTGTTGTCATGTGATTTGATGGTAGACTCCCATGTGGTATCAGTACGAAGCCCTTCTGGCAAGCATCCTTGCATGTGTCCTTATATAAGAAACTTCACCATGTTGTAGAAAAGGCACCAGCAGGGGGAGGCTACTGGCAATAGAAAGAAAATTACACTCAGGGGGGAATTTAGCAGGAAAAAATCCAAGTGGTAAATGGTAAAACAGAAGAGGATAAGGACCAATTTGTTCATGTATGACCCCAGGAAGGGTAATTATCTTGCCAAAGACTTCAAATGTAACAACCTTGACTCTTTTATTTATTATGATGGCGTTAGCATCGCCTGAGGTGTTGAAATGATGCAAATTCATATATGTAAGGATTTACTGTAACTTTATTTAAACATACAGAATGCCTCGGAAATATAATAGTAATCAGAATACATCTATATTGTAGTGATTAGAATTGATATTGAATTTGAAATGCATCTGCCTTGCTAAAAGCCTCAGTCTATATCTCCCATATAGTATATTTAGGCTCAGTTAACAAGATCAAATGACAAATATGATACATAGGTTGACTGATATTTGGCCACTTTATTTGTGCCAAACCGAAATGAGTTTTTGTGATTTTACAATTAACAGATGGACCAAGTAATCAAAATGGCGATCTGACATGATTGATAAGAGCAGTTAACTATTACTTGAGTCAATGACCCAAATATAATCATACTGTTTACAGGTAATCAGTCATGCATGAAGAAATTTTCGTGTTTTGATTATTGTACCAGAGATTGGTTGACTTTCCCTCTTTCTCTCTCTCATGTTTTGTTATTTTATTTTATTAATATTATATTATTTAATTATTTATTTAAGAAAAAAGTTAAACAGTTGCTGAATTGTGTGTGAAATGTTGAATAACAGACAGAAGAGAGAAGATTTTCTTTCATATTTTCCTAAGGCAATTTCAGTAAACAACCTTGTTATACAGCGTATTATAAAATTTGTGTGAAAGTATGCACTAAGGACTTAAGGCGGGAATCTCATGTTTTATCTCCACGTGAAATTAACCAAAGGTGACATATTTATTTATGTGCTATTCGGACATTACATCTTCAGACCTTTAATAGTGTGTGCACCTTTGGGCTATGATCTACCCACCCTGCCTCAGTAATTGCTGGGTTTTGTTCATCTATTTAAGGTGAAAATTTCTGATTAAGTTGTTTCACTCCTCAGGGTGCCTCTTGCTTTTGCCATCTTGAGCAAACAGTTTTTAAACCAAGCAAATACTTTTTTCTTAGTGTCATAATATATTTGTTAGTTTAACTTATAAAGCTTTAACTTTTAGAAGCTGATGCATCTTTTTTGTATAATAATGCTGACAAAAAGGGAAGGGATAAACGCATTATAATACAGTACTTGGCTTCTTACATATGTATGCCATAGCATTGCATCTTCCTTTGCCTGTTAGATAATTTATGTAAAATTGAGAAAAAAGAAATAGAAGATTAAAATGCCAAAATGGAAAGTAAGAGATCTCTGTACAAGAGGGTACATCAGCACCACACAAGCTGCTCTCCCCCTTTATCATGTGCCGCATCACCCGACATCACTCCTCGCATGCTAAATTGTATAGCCCCATGAAGAAGGTTGCAAATTGCCATTAAGCTTAATTCCAAAGGCTTGGAGTAAAATCATTTTCATATCAGGGAGGTGATTATGGTAGGGCCATTGCCATGGGAAAACAATAACTCGTGGTTGAAGTGGCCATGTTGTCGCTGGGCCTCGTGGATGCCTTTTCCGTTTTGGCGGCCTTGGGGAGTGGCGGAATGGTAGGGGTTTTTATGTCGTTTTTTATTTTGTTAAAATACTAGTAAGTGTGATCTGTATCAGCTGGATGCTACTAAATTTTTAACTCAAAGCTAGTGTAGATTAGTTTCTTACTCTTGTATTTGGCACAGATTCCTCTCTGGCAGTTTGTAGTTTATTTCTTGAATGTGGGACCCATTGTGTATGCATTTCTAATGGCTTCAAGCTTAAAATAAGGCAACAGGTGCTTGTATCCTCACCAAACCTTTATCAGCACAAAGCTGCTAAAAAGTTACATGTGTTAATGGTTCTGGATTTTGAAAATATTTGTGTTAGAAATGTTTTTTTTTTTTTTTTTTTTTTTTTTTTTGTAATTATTCTGTTGTATATATTTGTGTAAAGTAACTAGCGATAGTCTGATGGTACTTTTGCTTGAATTCTCGTGATAAAATTACACAGTCATGCAGTGAAATTAAGAGACAGATGTGATACTAAACCCATGGTAGAGACAATGTGAATTTTTTTAACATAAATCTCCATGAAGTCTTGAGTTGAGAAGCAATGTGTGAGGTATACATAGTTATTCACATTTTTGGAATAAAAATTAATTTTTTTTTTACAAATTTCTAGAAAAAAAGTTTATTTTAAGTTGTTAATATAGCCCTTCAGCTCAGTCTGCACATTAGATTAAAAAACTTAATCCTGGAAAAATGAAATACAGGAATATTTAAGGTGTTTAAAATTTGTGAAACTTCTCATTGCATTTCAATAAATTTAATCGATTAACTTTCTCAAAAAGAAGTGCATTTTAGTTATTAGTTATTTTTTCTAAAATTTTAGCCAGGAAGCATGTCTTCATAAGTTTATATTTTTTCCTTGAAAATATTGCATTTTACTATTTTATTATTTTTAGAGAAATTTTTGTTACAGTTTTAGTAATTTTTCATATACATGGCATGCGTGAAGGACATTTTTGTAGGCAAATAACCTTCATGGTGCAGTGGTCACAGTAGCTGTCTTAGCTGTTTTTTTTTTCTACAGTGTCCATTCAGCTATAAATTTGAGGAGAGAGAAAGAAAAAGTCTAAGAGAGAGTAAGAGACAGAGTCTAAGAAAGAGTAAAAGACCGAGAGAGGGAAAGAGATAGAGCTTTCCCATAAAATTAAACAATTTTAGTAAGCAAATTGTAGACAATTTCAGGGTTATTTATTTCATAAATATAGCATGAGGAAAACCATAACTCTATAAATACCAACTAAATGTGCAATTTCAGCAGATAGGATCATTCTGTGGTTAAGTTTGGACTTCTTTTCACCTTGGCCACACACACTGTGAGAAAAGATGGAGAAATTACAGGCAGAGTAGAATGTAGAGAAAACAGGCCAAGAAAAATTACACTGGCAGAGTAAAATATAGAGAAAACAGGCCAAGAAAACTTACACTGGCAGAGTAAAGCGTAGAATCATGATTTGGAAAAAAAGATGAGCAGTTTATGCTTTGGTGCACCACAATGAAAATATTATATATTGATTAATATCTTCATATTTATTCAGTTGTAAGTTTTAATGTTTGGTGTCAAAGTTTGTGAATGGATGTAAAGTGAATGGATGTAGAGAAGAGATCTTATAGATAAAAGAAAAGATGGGGTAAAAAAAGTTTGATTTGGTGACAAGTATGAAAGAAATATATTTTGTGAAACCTTGTTTTGCGCTGTCAAAGTAGAACATATTTAAAAGAAAAAAGAAAGTTTCATGACATATTTCATTTCATTTTCTTGCAGACTTCTTGTACAGTTGGAAGAGACAGAGAAAGCCTTTGACAAGTTTTGGGACCAGCACCATAAGAAACTTCAGCAGTGTATGCAGCTGAGGAAGTTTGAAGATGAATTCAGACAGGTAGGGGTCAATTCTCTTTGATTACAACGACACTTACCTTCAAACACAAGTAAGTATGGCGTCCCCTGTAGGCAATATGCTATAAGAAACATTGAATTCAATAAAAGACATTCATTTTGACATTTTGTGAATTTTTCTCTTTCCAGCTGCAGTATGTTGTAGAAAGACATCTTGAGAAATTAAAAGAAGAAGCCTTAGAAACAGAAAACTCCTTGTTGAAAATAGAAAACCATATCACCGATATGAAAGATTTTGAGGAAAATACGAAGGTATGGATGGATCTTTTTCATGAAGGAAATAAGATTTTGAGAGATGTTGACTGAAACATTCAGGCCCATATCCTCATGTGCATGTATGCATGCACGCACAAACACACACATGCACGCAATAAAACAAAGAAACTTTAAGCTGTAAAAGATGCTGTTAACACAAAGCAGTTATGTCAAATTACTCTTGTGTACAACTGAAGTATTATATTACTGCTTCTCAGTTATAATTATTTAGAATTAGATTTATTGAATTTAGCATAAGTTTATAATATTATTAATAAAAATTGGCACAGTTGGTGATCTAATTTGACTGTAGAGATGGGATTGTTTGTATTTCTGAAAGTTCTTATCTCAAAACTCAGCTAAGGAGGCACTAGATCTACACTCAAAAATCAAATTATTTCTGAATGTCCAAAGTTATTGTTGTACTAGTACATAATTGAAAATTGGTGGTGATGAAGTAATGCCATTGAACACTCGGTAGTATCATTTTATGCTCTGTCATCATTTTCTTCTATATGTCTGTACATTTGACATTATTGCTGCTTTCTTCCAGAATGATATCCACAGGGCAGAACAGCTCCGAATGGAGGGTGAGGCGTTGATAGAGGACCAGCATTACGCTGTGGATAGTATTCGCCCCAAGTGTTTGGAGCTGCAGAGAATTTGTCTTCAGTACAAAGAAGTTGTTCGCCAAAGAAATGAACTCCTGAGAAAGAAGAGAGATCTGTATGATAGACTGGAAAAGGTTGGTGTGCTGAAGTTGGTAATGGATTGAAATTAATAGAAGTCACTTTTAGCAAGGGTCTCCTTGGACTTCTTTTTAGTAAGTGTCAAAATGATGAAAAATATATTAATAAACCTATAGAAATTTAAATAGCTAATCTGGAATATCTGTATGTCTCCAGTTGCTGTCAGTTTTCCCCCTTTCTTTTACTGGCAGTTAATAGTTAGTTCTTATTATCTTCTCAGAAACATAATTTGGATGTTATGCCATTACTGCTGTATACTCCATAGATCAGCATTGCTTTGAGATGCGAGTAACTGGTGAGAAATATTTCATATTTTCCAGGCCAACAAATGGTGTACCACAGGCGTAGACCTGCTGGCAATGCAGGACATGACACCAGATGGCGTTGATGTGGCCATCAAAGAAATCAGTGGCTATCTCCAGTTGTCGAAGCAGTTGAACTTGAACAACCCACGGGAGTTCAGGCAGACTTTTGAAAGTGTGCTCACGCCAGAAATAAAGGTAAGGTGTTTAAGCCTCCCCCCCCAAAAAAAAAAATTGATATTTATGAAATATATTTATTACATTAAGTGGCACATAATCAAAATTGTGCACGTGGTCATTTGTTTTATGGATAGTTATAATTTTTTCACGCATTTTAAATAGTAGCTATAAGTTATGGAATGTTTAGACAAAAAATGCTAAAAATGTTATGAGACTATTTTCTCCATAATCTTGATCATCTGAATATGACAATCTTCAAGTCATTTTATAATATATTATAAAGATCATTACAGTTAAAAACAGATAAATTTGCAGCATTAAATGAAATCTTTAAAAGACACAAACAGGATCTTGTATAATAATCATGTTCCCCATTTTGGAAGAGAAAGCCATCAAATACCTAACAAGGTTTTATTTCCCTACTTGTCACATAATTTGTTCAGATATAAATAATTCTGCGAAATTTACCTTAAGATTTAACTGAATTGGCAGTTGTACAGCAGTACTTTAAAATACCTAAAAAACTAGAGCTTTACATGACCCACTGCTGTATTTTTTAAGTTAAGACATCCTCTATCAATACAATCATGGCCTTTTTATAAGCCCAGACCTTCAATTACTAGATGTGTATTTCACCTAAGTTAAGATGTAATTGACTTAATGTTATTCAACTTAAAAAAATAATGGCAGTGATTTGTATTCTGGTTTGTGGTTAACCTCTTAAGCACAGTTTAGGGTCTAAGAATATTGTTTTATATGATAGATAGCAAAGATTTCTCATATCTTCAACTTGAATTCTTTGTTTCATACGTTGTTGATCATATATTTTATTTCCCCTTTTTTTTTGTTTTTTTTTTTAAATTTGGTATAACAGTAATTGTACTAGTTACTGAAAATTTTCAAAACAGAATTGTCCATTATATATGCCAACCCAACCCTGCTATTTTAGCTGACAGATTGTGCTAGCAAATTTGATTTTAGTTTAACGAAAAATACCTATCAATATGTGTTCATTGCTTGGTTAAAATACTATTTCAGGTATAAGAACTATGTACATGTATACAGCTACTGGTAGATTTATTCATAATTGCTAGCTGATAATGACAATAAATTTTGAAAGAGATATATATTTTTTACCTTGGTTTCCAAAAAAAAATAAATCATTTGGGATACATGTGGCACCATAATTTTTTTCATTTCCCAGAATGCAGTCCAGGAAGGTCTCAAGCGTATTGAAGACATACAGGACATGTGCAAGAAGAGACTGGAGAACTTGAAGAAGGTCAAGGTCAACTCAAGGTCACCACCTCAACAGTTGACGCCACCGGTGAGTGTGTGAATATTTTGTATGACACCAGTTTAAAAAAAAACAAAAACAACAACAACATTTACTGCACCAAGATTTATTTGAGAGTTAATCAATCAGCAGATGATTATTACAACCACATACAAAATGACTAGTGAGAGATGTAGAGAAAGAGAGAGAGAGAGAGAGAGAGAGAGAGAGAGAGGGACCGAAGGAGGTGGGGGAGCATTTTTGGGTTCACGTGTGTATTGTCTTTTATTGTTATTTTGAAATCTTGAGGGTTTTTTTTTTTTTCCTGTTCAAAAATTTCTATTTTCAAGTACTAGGGTATCAAGGATATTAAGGAACAAAATTACTCCAGGGAATTTGGATCAAAGGACGAGATTTGACAAAGACCTCCCCCCCTCCCCCCCAAAAAAAAAAAAAAATGTCTGCACATTCATATCAATTATGCAGAAAAAAAGGCTGAAAATCATTAAGTTCTTACGTACAAATATGTTTCTGGGACTTGTTCAAATACAAAAAAGGGGGAGGAAACATTAAATGGCATTATTAGTACCCTAAACCACCTGTATATTCTTCATTCCTTGTGTACACAAATGAAGACCTAATGATATTAACTTAAAAGCTGACCCCACTTAATGCAGTAAATATTTTAATGGACGGAAAGACTGCCGACTTAAACCAATGTTAACATAATGTGTTTGGCTCAATGGACTTGGTCACTGTTAAATCTACTTCTTTTGTTGTTGGTATTTTCACCTTGAAGATAAAATTCCCAGTTTGATATTAAGTTTCATTCTGGTCTGAAACTTGTAAAAATGGACAGAATAGGGCACTTTTGGCGTGATACAAGAAAACAGCCGACTGTCGGCTGTCGTCAACATGTTTACGTCTGGACCTGTTTGGGCTAGGTTTGTACCGATTGAAAAGAATACTGTCCCACTGGCTAATGGATTGATTTGATCAAATGAGTTCAACATTCTCAGTTTGATATTGGGTTTCCTTTACTTTTAGTTCCCCTTGGAAGTGAAAGGGCTAGTGGTATCAGATGACTGCATACAAGAAATATAAATAAAATCACGTGAATTTTTTTTTTTTTTTTTTTGTATTTCTGGTTGAAGTTATAGGGTGCGTCCTGCACTGTTTTGACTGAGACTGTAATTAGACTAACCTTGGGGAGTAGACATCTCGATTGCAGTCATCCAGTCAGCTCAATGGATTTTCTGACAGATAGCAGAGATCTTCATAATGATGCAGACAGTAGTTAGCAATTGAGCTTTCTTCTTGTTTGAATTAGTCTAAAGACAGTTTTAATAAAAACGGTATCGAATTGGACTACTGTTTATAAACTAGCTGTATAAAATTATGGTATTCACTCAGTGACTTTGTAAACCAGACTGGTTTAATTACGTTTGGACATCTACTAGCATTTGGACATCTTGGTAGAAGAATTCACTATGGAGTTGGATAAGTACAAGGATTAATTTGGATTCCTTTTACAAACGTTTTTTAGAGATCTGTAATAGGAAGATTTGCCTATATAAGACAGCATCACATTCATCAGGTGGTAAAATTACTACATAAACCATAGTTTATTTTGATCACAACGAAGAGAAGAAAAAATTAAAGAGCTGAACAGATCTGTGGAATATATCTCTATTAAAATGTTCCTGTGAGAAAGGCTAAGGGATGCAAGATGGACATGACTAGGATGTTGACATTGACTATTTGAGTACATTTATATACCTTATTAGGGGCTTTTCTGCATTTTGAGAAGCATATTGTTATTAAACCCTTTACACCAAGGACGAATTTGTTACTCCATATGAAATTGGAGTTGACTTCTTATCTGGCAAATCTTTTCGCTGTCTGTGTATATTTGTAGATGATTTATGTTTGCTTACATTTACACTTTTGTTTGCTGTAAGCTAAGTGCCTATAGCTACTTTAATGTATAATATATATTATAAAATATTTTTTGTGTACACAACAAGGAGTTAGGGAAAGCAAACTTTCGTATTCATTCTTAAAAAAGAAAGACTTTTTAGAACAAAAGAAAAATGTCCAGAAAACATTTTTATTCTTGAAGAAATTGTTGAAAGAAAATACATTTTCTCAATTGGAAAATACTTAAAAATTCATTTGCAAAGCAGTCCTTAATATAAGTTTTGCTGTTCAGTTTGAATTTACTGAGTGTGGTGAGTGACTTGACTTTGCCCACCTGGTATGGAATCGTATCTGTAGCCATAATTAAGACATAAGAGTACGTTCTATCAAAAACAGGCAAAGCAGAACACAATGATGAGGAGGAGGACCATCTCCCATCCTGGTCCCAGAGTGCATCTGGTTCGTGTGAGTGTCAGGCTGTGTTCACATCAGTTCTAAGTTAAACCGAGAAATTGTCTGACAAAATGTTAGAGAAAGAATATAGAAGTTGAGAAAGTGTGTTTTGTCACTGCAGTTCCAAACACTCCACAGTCATAGGATAAACTTTAAGGTTTTATTACACAACTTATAGTCTGTAAAACTATTGCCTTTGTTAAGTTATTTTAGTTTTATACATTTCACAGTCTGTAAAAGCAATAGTCCTCCAAGTTTTATCTTTATTTTCATAGGAAAAGAAAGAAACTGTGCCATTACTTAGCTCAGTGTCTACAGAAGATCTCCATCACAAAAGGAAGAGAAATGGAGAAATTAAGAAAAATGGAGGAACTCACCTCAGGGTAAGTGAATGGGATAGTTAAACATTTTTATTTGTCACTATACTTGGGCTTTTTAATGCCATGCACTATTCCTAACTGTTGCAAATAATATTTTTCTGTTGTGTAATAGTTGTACCAGGTGACTGTGGTAAATAAATACAGGCTTATCTGTGTCATTTTATATTAAAAATATTTTTCCTCTTGATATTTCTTAATTTTTATTTATTTATTTATTTATTTATTCAGACAAAAATAGAACTAGTCAGACAAGATGGCAATGAAAGTAGCTCATCACTGGAAAGTGAAAGTGAAAGTCTTCATAGAGGGCAGCAGAGTGGTGGAGTAAACAAGACAACCCCTCCAGTCAGTCCGCTGGCGGATCTGGATACACTTCACGCAAAGAGGGGGTAAGTTGATAAGTGGGTTCTCTTCAAGGCAGCAGAGTTAAAACATTTTCAATCAGTCTGGCAATTTGTGCTTGTGTGTGTGTGTGTGTGTGTGTGTGTGTGTCAAATCAGATTCAGCTAGAATGCTGTTGGGGTTGATGCAAATTATGGAGGTAAAGTGTAGCCCTAATTGTATTGTTTAAATCAATGCATAAACAGAACTGTGATTCTTAAGTTACAAAACTGAAGATTTAGGTGTTTGTTTAGGAGTGGGTGTGTTTGTGTAAGGTGTTTCAGTTATTGTTGGAAAGAAAAAAATACAACTTTTAGAAAAAATCTTTTTGTTTAAAAAGTATATAAAGTTATCAATTAGATTTTACACAGTGTTTTTAAGAAAAAAAAGTATTTTCAAGAAAAATGTTAATTATCGTCTCTTCATATATTTTTCAGTCATGTGATGAAGGAATTAATAGAGACAGAGAGGATATATGTGAAGGAACTCAAGAGTATCATTGATGTAAGTGACCTCCTGTATGAAAATTATATGCATATAATGAATGTGATCTTTTAAATACTACACAGGCAATGAATGTGTTGGTTGTGATTGTGCTGTCTCAACAAAAACAGTATGTTTTGATCAGCATGGGTTTTCTGTCAGTGAACAAGATATATTAAACAACCTTTGAGTTGGACAGCTATTTAGGAGGCAGAGAAGTGATTGCATTTGAATGCAGGTTTCAAGTATTTTTAAAAGAATTTATTGCCTTTGTTTATCATTCCTGAAGTGCCCTCTAATTGCTTTAATATTATTATTATTATTATTATTATTATTATTATTATTATTATTATTATTATTATTATTTAAGGGTTATGCTAAACTGATGGATGACCCAGAGATGCAGCATCTTATCCCAGCACACATCAAGGGAAAGAAGAGAGAAATATTTGGAAACATTGAAGATATTTATACATTTCACCATGAGTAAGTGGTCCATAAACATATTTAGAATTATTGAAAAATTTCAGGTTACAGATGTACATCTATTGTCATCTTTTCAAGTAGGTTTTTATATATTTTGATATTTTCTTTTCAAAATGCACCTTTTTTAAAAAATTGTGATTACTCCTATTTACAATTCTTTATTTACTTAAAATGCCAATTTATTTTCTCAATATAGATAAAATATAATGAGAATAATATTTTTTTAAATTGTGTTATTTGCAATGTTCATGCTCAATTATGTCAAAGGGTAGAAGTGTGTTTTTAAAAATGTTCGCAGAAAGTAGTTAAAATTACGTAATTTAAATTTCTGATCACATGCTTTTTCTCTCATTCACAGCGAGTTTCTCAAGGATCTAGAGAACTGTCAGAACACACCAAGTTTGGTGGGAAGGTGCTTTGTAGATAGGGTAAGTCATGGAGTCAGTATTTATCTCAAGAAAGGACAGTTTTCACATATCCCCCTCTTCCTGACCATAAGATTTGTTCATCATGTCAAATCCACAAAAATCAAGAATGAATTCAAACAAAAATAAATAAATAAATGATTGTGTTTCTTCCATACTTCCTAAGAGAAACTGGTCAGATGGATTCTTTGGCCATATCACAATATTTTGTCTTCTGTGATATCTGTATCTTTCAAAAATACTTCTTGACAACATGTTTGAATTTTTTTTAAAGTTCAAATTTTGTCAAATTTAGCCCAAAAGTGTAGAGATTTTCTCTTTAACTTTATGCATTGAGAGAAATTCGAAATATACAACTACAGATTATCCAATCAAATGATCTTTTACATTTGAAAACAGAGAGAAGAGTTTCAAATGTACAGCTACTATTGCCAGAATAAGCCAAGGTCAGAGGCACTAAGGCAAGAAGCAGGCGATCACAATTCATTCTTCAAGGTTTGTAAGAAATACTCCCACCACATTGGATCAAAACTAACTAATGTTGTTTGATAATTTCTAAGATTACAGTTATAAATTTACTTCAAAACTGTGTTTGGTTAAAGTTTTTCCCTTGTGTTTGGCTGTTTGTGTCTGATTTTTACTTGAATTAATGATGTTAAAATGATGAAATGCTGCCAGTTGGACAAAATGGGGGTTGCAATCTATGAGTAATTACTTTAAATTAATTTGAAATATTACTAAATGACTAAATGTGTTTTTGAAGGAATGTCAAAAGCGGTTGGACCATAAATTGCCATTGGGCGCCTACCTGTTAAAACCAGTCCAAAGAATTACCAAATACCAGCTACTTTTAAGGGTAAGCTCATATCTGTACAATTTGAATAGTTTTCTTTATTTTTGATTTTTTTATTCCAATACACAGGTACTTCAATGTTAATTATAATGAATTGGTACCATGAAATGAAATATCCTGTATGTTGAGGGTATATATTTTTCTTTATGATTAAATCATATGGATTAAAATTTTCAGTATCTAGCCAAATTTTTTTAAGGATAAGTTGTTATGAAGAAAATTCCATGAAGTTATGTTTTTCACATTTTGGCCAAATTCAAGTTCATTAGTAGAAATATGGAGTGGAAAGTAACAGTGAAGTTAAATTCAATATACCTGCCCAAGGCTTAGATTTGGCATTAAAAACAAAAAGCTGCAATATTTTTGGCTCAAGAACACAAAACTGGTTTACATGCCAGACAAATGAAATGATGGGCCTCTGGCACATTAAGATAAAAACTTATCTGACTCTACAGAATTTCCCTTGGGATTATAACATTTTAAAAGTTTGAACCGTTCATATCACTAAAATCTTCACGTGTGCATACATTACGCCCATGTCCACATATGTATATACACAAACACATGAAAACTTTCTAGGTAATCAGTAGAGATAATATTTCAAAATTAGATTGAAGATAAGGTCGGCCATATAGGCATGAAAACCCACATCAAATTAAGCAACATTTTTAGATGGCAAATCTCAGAAATAATTTTTAGAACAAGTTTTAAGGACTGTCAGACCTGCTGAAATGATCCACATATCATTAACACATTATCAGAGGTGGCTTAACCCTCAACTTCCTGTTGGTGGAAGTGGAGTGTTTGTGTGCTGCATATAAAATGTACGTGGCACGCTGTATTGCAGGCATGGAACGTTTATAGGTCTTTAATATGTATTTGTTATATTAATTGCTAAGTTATAGTTTGACAACATTATTTTAGTTTGTAATATGTATTGGAACAGTGCAATCCCTGTAACATTTTTATGGTGTCTATGACCTAAATACATATATAATAACATTACTAATTTTAATTAAAAGCCTTCTATAACACACTGACATGAGTCGACACAAATACTGATATTATGAAAATTAAGACCAGTTCCCTGTCCATGTGTGTCTTGTGTGATGACACCTAAACCATCCAGGTACATCAGTCAATTTCCTGTCCAATTTAGTTTTGTCTAGACACACCTTTAGCTTCTAGCAATGTATATTTACATGTGTGCGTATTGCAATCCTGTGATGACATTAGAGGCAGTGTTATCTAGTTCACAATGACACAAGGGAATCGTATTGAAGTCAGTGTAGTTTCTACCAATACTTAAAAAGTGGATGAATCCAATGTCACATGGTTACTGTAGAATCTCGATCACTTTCTGAGGACTAAAGTATATCTAGAGAGGTCCAAAGTATTGTTGAAGTCCGGTGTGATTATTGCGAAATTCCAAAGTGGAGTATGTCAGATGTCACATATGGCGTTCTACTTAGGAGCTCACTGCCGACGGACTGTGGAAATACTCATTTATGGATTGAAGAGTATTCGGGTAAATGAATTTAAAATGAATTTAAACTATTTGGAAAAATCAGATTAATTTGATTTTTGGGAGTTTTTTTCCTGCGATTGAAAGTAGTTTAGAGGCAGTGATTTGATTTGAAGAGAAGATTTTATTTGAATATTTTTTTTTTTAATTTCTTATTATAATTATAGTTAATATAATAACTATAATTATTATAGTTATAATTCAGTGGGTTGTGCTCTGTGATTCTCATTTAAAATATTTATTTTTTATCTTCTGTACTTGACTGCTAGTGATGTTTTATTTTCTGTACAAAAATTTGAATGGATTTGCATCACTGAAAAAATAACTTGCAGGAAGTATCTGTGATAATAATTGTCAAATTTTATATTCAGAATTGTATTTTTGAATTTTGATACTGTCATTTCCCACTAGCTTTAAAGTATGCACATCACTTTGTCATTAACTGTATGTTTTACGACCCTTTGTTAGTCATATTCACTTGTGAAAAATATCTTTTGTCTCATTTGTTTGTGGCTTATCACATGCATCAAGCCATCAGCTTAGTTTGGTATTCATATTAATTCGTTGAGCTAGTATAATACAAAATTTACATTAATTTACTTATTGATTTAAAGAACTTTTGATATAAGCACCTACAGAATTATGTGTTAGATTGAAGCTGAAAACCAGCTAAGTTGATTGTCATACAGAGGGACATAACAGTATAGACAGACAGATACTATATAGATGGATATTGGACGAAAACATGTTAAATTCCATATTTATCTGCCCCATGGCTGATGTGCACTCTACGTCCTGAAGTACTTTATCATCTTCATTATTTTAGTAAGACAGAAAGAGAGATACAGTTGATTGCAAAGTAATATTGCAATATTGCCAATGTTAACGGGAAGCAGAAAGGCTGAAGTTAGCTTAGGACCTGTAAAGATGGAGATCAGATTTGATTAATTATTCTTTACCATTGCAATTAACGGTTGATGACCTTTGCCCTTGAGACACTTTTCTTCCAAACAAGAAAAAATCATAATTTATCAGATGATCAGTGTTAAAAAAGAAAACAGCTGTGACCACATGCTGTGGGTGTGTCTTTGTTCCTAGTCTTTAAGAGCGTATTTAGAACCGTGGACGAACAGATACCAAATATGGCGACCTACTGAAAAGCTTGCTGTTTAATTCCCAATAAAACACCGAAGAGATTCCCTGCAGGGATTTCACAACAAGCATTCAAGTGGGTCGGCCATATTTGATCTGCGGATCTGTAAATCCGCTGTCTGAGTGTGTTCTTAGAGACTAGGAAAAAATAGACAATTGTGCAATCAACAGCTGTTGTCTAGGTATGAACTAACTGTTGCATAAACATACCAGTCCTGTAACAGATGTAGACATCTCATAAAGATGACAAAAAATAGAATATTCCATGTAGACAGGCTGTGTTCCAAACTGTTTTTACCAAAACTGTTTTTAGACTAACTCTGGAGGATAAAGAGTAATATTGTATTCAACTCGGTTGATAGAGCAGGAAAACCTGTTATCCCTCATTTAACCACCACACCTGGTGTCACCTGCTCCCCCCCCCCTTCTCCCCTCCCTTCCCCTCCCCTCATCTTGTTGACCACTTATTTAAGCATGGGTGATAGTTTTCAGGATTTTCAGTCTTTATTTTGAACATTTTTTACGTAGTCTAAATGCATTGTAAAATTGCAAGCAGTGTTTTCAGGATTTTCAGTCTTTACAACTTTCATCTTAAATAATGTAAAGAATTACATCGGCCGCTGGATGCAGTCAACCCTCTAACTTCCTATATTTAGTCTGAAACTTTTTGTGTAGAAAATGTACTGAATGCACCCATGGACTATAGCGTGTTTGGACTGTTCTCCTGGTCGTAACTGTCACATGGACCCTGTCTTGACGTGCATCACGTGTTGGTATGTGTATGTGTAAGGGACACAGATGGTCTAGGATAGTCCTTTGTCTCTCACGACAGCTGATTTAAAGAAGTCATTTTGCTGACTGGTGTCAGACGCTGATACTGACTCTTTAGGCATATATTCATAGCCAGAGGTGTACTAGAGAGAGTGTAGGACATAAAAAGAGTGATTATAAGATAGATTAAAAAACATGGCAGCATTTTTGTTTTTGGGTAAGTTGCATGTATGCTAGTGCCTTTGTGTGTTTATTAATTTTTGTGTCTGTGAAATTTATCTGGGAAATTGGTTATTTTTTAGTTATCAAGTTTATAGGGATGAGATTTTTCTATTGACAGATTTCTGGCTTTTGGGAGGCAAAATTTTATTTTTGAGATTGATGCAGATATGAAAAAGGGAGGGTTCTGGGTCTCTATTTTCAAACTTTTTTACTAAATGGCAGCCTCATCTGAGATTGTTATTATAATGGTAGAAAAGGTTGCATGCATGTACAGAGGTAGTACTGTGGGAGCAAAAGTGTTGCACAGTTTCAGAAATCACTTCAATGTTTTTGTTGTTTTTTAATTGCCGTCCATTGAAATCCCAACAAAAAACACCAGTTTACCAGAGGGTGGCTGAAGTGAATGTGCCTACAGGCATCATATGCATCTCCGGACATAAACATTTTAATAAAGCTCATTTACTGCCTCTTAACACTAATGACTTTGATTGTAGTAGGCTGGATAGTCATTTTGTACAGGAGTATAAATTACATAGTTTATACAAGCAAACTATGGTGTAGTTTTATTTCAAAGAGAGTTAGTGTTAATTACGTGTTTGTCTGTTTCGGATGATCCGGCCCCCCAAACAACAATGAAAAAAAAAAAAAAAGAAGAAGAAGAAGAGAGAGAGAAATGATCTTTTTTATTTAGTTTTTCATTCTTTCTTTCAGGAAATGCTTAAATACACTGGCAATGACATTGGGAGTGTAGAAATCAAGGATGCACTGGATGCTATGCTAGGTGTGGTGAAATACGTGAATGACATCATGCATCAAATAGCAATCACAGGATACAAGGTACTGGCCTCTCTCTGACCTCTGTCCTTAATACATGATTCTCTGACAAGTTGGAATCCCAGCCTTCTCTCTCTCTCTCTTTAATATCTCTGAAAACCTCCCTCCATGCTCTCTCTCTCTTTGTAATAATACTTGAAGTTATCAACAATTTAGTCTGCTTTATTCTCTCTCTCTCTCTCTCTTTATATATATATATATATATATATATATATATATATATATATATATATATATATATATATATATATATATATATTTTTTTTTTTTTTTTTTTTTTTTTTTTAAAGCATTTTAAAATCCTTTTCCATTATTAAGTAAAATAATCATTTACTCTTTTATTTTAATTCCAGGGAAATTTGTCGGATTTGGGGAAGTTGCTGATGCAGGGATCCTTCAGTATGTGGACAGAGCACAAACAGAAGAAAGACAAACTGAAAGATCTTCGCTTCAAGCCCATGCAGCGGCATGTGTTTTTGTACGAAAAGCTGATCATGTTTTGTAAAAGGAAGGACCACGACACACACGCAGATAAGCATTCTTATATATACAAGAGTTCACTACAGGTAAGACTGGCCGAGAAATTTTTAATTATGGTTCAGAAATGTTGTGTTTATTTATTGATTGGTTGCTTAATTTGATCAATTGGTTTGTTGGTTGATTGATTGGTTAATTAACAAAAAGATGATAGATTAATTGATTTATTGATTTGTGTATTGATTCATTTATTCCTCCATTCATTCACTTAAATCAAATGTATGAATTGATAAATAAATGGTAATTCTTTTTATATGAATTAAAAAGACTATATTATTAATATCCCACTTTTGTTCTTCACTGTAGACAGCCCAAGTTGGTCTCACTGAAAATGTGAAGGGAGATAAGAGAAAGTTTGAAGTTTGGCTTCATGGAAGATCTGAAGTCTACATCATACAGGTAGACTTTTTATCTTTGGATTTTGTTAGGATTGAAGATAATTCATCTCTATCTGTCACTAGTATTGGCTAGCGCATGGTTTAGCTGACTATAACTTTATAGATATGGTTATTTTGATACGGAAATATTGGTGTCTATGATTTAAAAGATGTTTTATAGGAATTATTTTACTTTCCAGGCTCCCACAGAAGAGGTGAAAAACGCATGGGTGGTCGAAGTCAAGAAAGTCTTGCTCAGTCAGTTTGATCAGATTAAAGGTATTGTGAATTATAACTTCATTTTTTTTTCAGTCTCTAAAAATCTAAAATTTTAGTCAAAGCAGTAAAAAGTATCCATTATGAAATAGAAAATGATCATTCGTTTCAGCCTTTGTAAATAATCCTAAACATATAATAGCATGTCAAAAAACTTAAATACTGTGCTTTTTTTTTTCTCCAGAGAGAAGACAGAGAATTCTCAGTTCTAAACCTAGTGAGGTGCATGAAGAGGCTCAGAACATGAACAGGTATGTATGTTGCCCAGCAACTTGATCAGTACAGAAAGTATTAAAACATTATGTTATGTAAGGTGATGAATCAACATTTTTGTGACTGCTAAAAAAAATAAGATCATATTTACAATCAGTTTTGAAGAGGCAATTTGAGTCTGTCTCTAAAAAAATAAGATCACATTTACAATCAGTTTTGAAGAGCCAATTTGAGTCAGTCTCTTCACTTTCAAATGTTCATACTAGTACACACATGCTTGTTGTGTTTCTGAACTTATGAAGCATTTGATTGAATTGCACTAAACACAAATGTGTGTGGCCCTTCGGCACAACCACAAAACCCAGATAACTAGATGTGTGTTTGCGATTGCTGTGGTAAACTCCTATCGAACTTATCACCAACTGTCAGAGTTTGATAAGCTTGCACATATGGAGATTTGAAAATGAATAAGGTAGAATGCATAGCATGTGATGGTCAGGGTGTTTCTGAAACAAGACCCATTTTCACAATAACTTACAGCCAATGGGGTCACTTAACACAAATTTGCCCCTTGGCGTCACAACAGAAAACATCTAAATAACCTAAATTTTTGTCTTTTGCCAATTTTAGGAAAAATTCGGACAACTACCCACCTTGTAATAACAACAGCCTTCTGGTCACTCCCAGCAGTACGTCGTCTGCTGACCACTCCCCTACCTCAGATGGTCAGTCTCCGGACTACGAGCAGTACACGGATGATGAGGACTGGTCATCTAATGAGTTCACCGACACTGATGAGGAGACGTCTGAGGCCACCACACCCTCTGCTGTGGTAAGAGAAGAAGGGGACACTTTTCCTTTTTTAATTTTAATTTATTTTGAGGCATAAAAGACTTACAAAACTTGAAAATTGTCAATGTCAGGTGCCATACACAAGTATTTTTTAAAGATATCTGATTTACACCTACAGTATGAATCTTATTCAATGCTGAAAATGTAAAGTTTGCACTGTTAATAAAATGTGAAGCTTCTTTGTCTTGTGCTGGTGTCAAAAGGAGAAAAGTATTTGATGAAATGGCCGGCAATAGACATTTAAGTTTGTTGAATTTACGCAAAAGAGTGAAGTTGACATGAGATTTCCTCCACATTAAATCCCATAGAAGTACGATTATTTTTTATTCTCTCACCAGGTGGAGTTACCAGTCTATGTCGCCCTAGGAGATTACCAAGGCGCGGACAACACAGAGCTCTCTTTACATGAAGGAGAGGAGGTTACCGTGGTTACAATTGGTGACAGCGGTTGGTGGTTTGTGAAGTCGATTGAGACTGAATGTCAGGGCTGGACGCCTTCTACATACCTAGAACCAATCAGCCGAAGAAGCTCGCGTTCTGCAATTTCTATGACGAGTTTAGGTATGAATATGATGTACTAGGAGTAGATTTGTTCCTAGATATTTTTTAATGATATGTAATATTGTGTTATTATTTGTGCCAGTATCGTAACTCAAAGATTTTTCATTCAGAGTCATATGTCAACCTACATTTTCCAGCAAAAAATTGGATTGAGGGTATTTTTTTTAGGAGAATTAACTTAAAATAAATGTTTATATTTCAGAATCTGGCCTGGGAAGCAACGGCATCCACCACGCAGTGAGCAAAAACAGTATAGGTAGTAGCACCAGTGGCGGCTGTGGCACCAGCATGGAAGGTGGTGGGGCCGGAGGAAGGGTCAAAAGTCACCAGAACCTTTTGGACCAATTAGAGGACACAGTGGTGTGAGGTGGCCAGTCTGGCCAGTGGTCATTCTGACATAGTGAGCAGTGAGGATATATGACCAGTGATATGTCCAGTACTAACCAGTAACCACAAGTTTGAATGCTTTAAGAACAGCAGGGGCATATTGAGGCTGCCCTCTGGGTCTTCTGGAAGACAGATTTCTGTCGGAAGGTGGTAAAAAAAGGCGGATGGATGAACAATGATAATTTGGAAGACTGTCAGAAATGATCTCTGGATCCGCCCCAGAACAGGGACAGTATGTTGGTCATAATCCATTTGAAATATTCAAAAACCATGCTGTGACATTTTTGTGCCCCATCATCAAAAGAAAAGAGGGAGAAAAAAGCTTTATCTATTTAAAGTACTGGTAGATGCAAAATTTAGTGTACAAACAAAAGGAAGCATGCAAACACTCACTGTATGTGGCTTATGTATCCAAATCAAAGTGATCCTAAAAACAAGTGCTCACATGATTATGATGTCATTGATGGAGAAAAACCCTGTGTGATGTCACCATGTGATGTCGCGGCTAAACCCATGTGATGTCACAGCTGTACCCTGTGATGTCACAATTATACCCTATGTCAGAATATTTAAGAGCACATTTTCAGTTACTATCATAGTTTTGATATGTGTCCTAAAGATTTTTTATCTTGGATATGTATACATGCACTTCTATGGTGCAGCAATGTCTTGTTTTATTTCTGTTATTATTTTTTTCTACACAGTCATGACGTATGATTATTGCCATGCAATTATGATGTAATGTATGCAACATCCACTGTTGGGTCTGTATTCAGTTGAAAAGTTTGAGGGCTTCTTATGATATAAACGTGTGTATGTAGTATATATGACACAATATGTATTCAGGTAATCATGTTCACTTTACTTGTTCTCATGATATACACGGTATCTAATTGATATAATGTGGTAATATTGATGATGTCATAATTGTGGTAGCCATGGTACCATCCAAAAGTGCACAACATGTGGTGACATCATTGCTTTTTGTGCCTTGATGTTGTCAAGAATTTCAACCAGCATATGTATCGTTTTTGGATTTTTATAGCAAACCAAGAGTAAGGTTAATACTTCAAGTTGTGGTGTTAGAAGAATTGTGAGCTTTGCTTTGGATGCAAGCACATTCCAGCTTTAAATTTCTTCAAACAGTAAAAATATTTGCTTCATTTAATTTTGCTTATATGTGCATATTATATGTCATATATGTTTACAGAATTTGAGAAACACCATTCCAGTGTAGTCTACTAAAAATAAAATGATTCCTCTTTATGAAAAAAGTATATTTTCTTTTAAAGATTTCTGTCACAGCCAACAGTTTATGATGAGCACATTTATATGTACAGATATTAGTACAGAAAAGAGACATTTGATGATATTTTTTTCAAATTATAAAGTTAAGTCACTACGAATGGTCATTTCAAATTTTATGAAAATTTTGACATATCTGTGATTTGCTATACATTAACTACATGTTCTTTTACTGTAGTTAATTTATTTTATCTGAAGTCAAAAAGGTAGAGAAATTGACACACTTAAAAGTAATTTTGAATGATTCCTAGATGGATTGAAACATGAAAAGAAGAAAACATAGAAATTCCCAAACTTCAGAGTATTGAGATATACATTCCCAGTCTGATCGTTATATGTGGTGAGAATAATATATATGTACTGGTAGAAGTGCTGTTGTGAAAGCTTTTCAACAGAGATGATAATATTAAATTATTATGGAAATGATAGGTCTTTATTTGAAATGTGATATATACCTGTATTTTCTGAGAGTTGAAATGTTTTGATCAGATCTCAAGGGGGGAATACATTCCTACATGATGTGATCCCAAATGTACAGGTGTTACCTTTGTCATAACTAATATAAATGTTCATAATACAGTAATTACTGACACATTTTGAACCCCCTATATTGTCAAGATGTATTACTTTTAGGAACTGAATCTAAAAAAGGTTGTGTTTAAGATGGTTCTGTAATAATACCCTTCAGGATAAAATGATTGGCGATGTGAAATATGTGAAATAATTAAAACCAAGCAGAATACGGTAATTACTAAAAAAAAATTGAGAAGTAATTTGTACCCATTATCATGTTAAACAAATAGTGCAGATGTGCGTTTTATGAGGGCAACTGAAATATTTGCACTTGTCAATGTGCTTTTCACATATCGTCACTCTTTAGGGATACATGTGCAATTCTGTATACAAGTCATAAACAGCTGAATGTATGTTATTTATGTCCATTATACTTTAATTTGTTAAGTTGTAAAGCTTGCTTTTCAGTGGATTTATGTAAATGAAAAAGTGAAAGTGAAATATGTACATGTATGTTTATTGTGTAATGCATATGTACTGCACTTGCTTGTAAATATAAAAGTATAATTTGTGGTATTTATTAACAACACTGCCGTTTTGTAAATAGACAATGTGTATTTTTCTCTCTTTCGGCAGATACAGCTGTTAAAAACAGTTGGGAATTTGAGATCAGATTGATTATTTTTATTTTTTTCTTGAGTTTTGGCTTTCCTTGCATTTTATTTTGACAGTGATAATGTTTAATATGTTGATATGTTGATCCTTGTTAGATATTGACTCGTACTGGTACATGTACATGTATTACGACAAGTGCGTGGTGCGAGTGCAAAGTAAATCGATCATTTCTGGGACATATTATGTGTACATGTATGTGCTTGAAGCTTCATAAGTATTTTCATTCATATACGAATAAGTGCTTCTTATATAATTACTAGTACTCTGAAAACGTGCATTACACTAGAACTGTGGTATTCTTTTCATTTTGTAAATTGAATCAATACACTTTTTGCAAAATCCTAAAATTTGCGAAGGGATTGGAATACTTTTGTGTTTGAATCCTATTAGTGCTTCTTAGAGGCTTCAATCTTAGATGCCAAGCCGTTTCGTGTTGCGGCATGGGATCGCCAGAAAATTAAAAATAAATATAACAAGCTGGTAGGGTCATTTGAATTACTTATTTTCTTTTGGTGCCATGTTATGTATAGGTGCATGCAATATACGTCTTTGTACACTTGTATATTGACATTTGTATTGATGTCGTCCATAGTGTGAAACGTGGAGGGAAATAAATATACAAATATATTTGTTGTTTATTTTTTTAGTTATTTACACCTTTTAGAGACGGCCGTGAGTTAACTCTCTGACAGCTGTTGTCTTCAGTAAGTTTTGTGTTAGAAAAAAGGTCTATAGAACTGATGCATGTTTGTTAGAATAAAGCCTAGGTTACATATGTCATGCGATGCCCGTGCTGGTATACTGCGCTTAAGTCCCTTCTCGTGGGGAAGCAGATGGTCGTACGAAATCGTTCAGATTCACGGCCTCTGTATAGCCTCTAAGATCTTGTCAAGCTAAAACTTTTGACAAATTTTAAAAAAGTCATAACCCCTTAGGCCGCAACGCACGCTTCCCGCAGTGGTTTCGTTCGGTACCCAAGGTTCTAGACATCGATATTGCCGGCTCCATCTTGATTCCACATATAACCCACATCAGCAATGCTTTAAAGCTAATATAACACATGGAAAGGTAAAACTAGCTTGTTCACTATATCCCGAGTCAGAATGTCTTCAGTGGACTTCAGATACCCGTGAAATGGTTGGACCCGTTCTTGGTCTCGTAACCACCCGCCTTCGGTGGTTTTAAGAAGCATAGCAACAGGAAAAAGATGTTTAAAATATAAGGTATCTTTTCTCTGACCACATAGTGCTTTAAAGTGTAGGGGACTGTGCCGTCCACGTACCAATCTTCAAGGCAGTCGCGCGGAGGGCGTACGGCAACAGCACTGAGAACCTATGCTTAAAAGTTAATTTTGTTGGAAAATAAATGCAGAAGGAATCATGTGCAAAAAAAAACTCCTCGAAAGCTTAAAAGACGTCAACGCTTGCCTAATAGTTCGCTAAGATAATAGTTATATTCTTAGATAATAAATAAACGTGGGGAAACTATCGATTTTAATACGATAACTGATTATCAAGACCGTAATGTTTTATTACAAATTGGATGAATTCGCGTTTTTAATATTGACATTCGAAATTGATGTTTTCCTAAATAAGTACATGCTTTGAGATATAGGTGTTCATGAAGGCAGCTTGACGTGGAATGTGATAGATAGGGATTGCGACAGAGACACGTGCCGTTTCAAATTCCCAGAAGGCTGAGCTCGATTGAGGTCACGTGCTCTTGTGTATTGCCATACAAATCTGGATGTGACAAGCGCTCACTGGAAGATGGCGGTGATTCGGAGTGTCATGCCTCTTTGTACATTGTGGCTTTGCTGGAAGATTTACTCTCAATCCGTCTACCAAATAGCAACAAGACGTGTGGTGTACTAGTAAGTAGAACCAAACAATTGTTACATATCTATACTGTATTGTTTTTTATTTCGACTATCAATCGTTATCTTTATACATCGACAGATGGATTAAACTGGTCACTCCACAGCATTTCCCCACTGCTTGGCAATATCTGAAGTAAGACACAATTGTGACCATAATATTTTACCAAAGAAATCAATATGTTCAATAAGAAGTCTAGTACATTTTTCTTTTCTCCGCGTTAAACGTGGAGGACACGGCACCGTACCGGGGAGGGGGCGTCTCGATAGTCCGAAGGTTCATTGGTCCGAAGGTTCATTGGTCCGAAAAGTGGTAACATTTTCATCGATTTTTTAATCAAAGGTTCATAGGTCCGAAGGTTCTATAGTGAACATTCGGACCAATGAACCTTCGGACTATTGAACCTTCGGACTATCGCTACGGCCCCCCTGGGGAAATGCCGCGAAAACATTCGACACCAGTATTGATCATGTCTATTTTTATTTATGTTTATTTATTCAACGCTCACTTCATATCTGACAGATGAAACTGCATTTAAAATTTAATAACATAGAAATACGTAGAACGCATTCGTCATTGGTAGGGCCTATATTTGAAAATATACCCGAGGAAAAAAATCTAGACGCCACCCCACCCCTCATTGAAACGACATTATGTGGGTTACTGACTGCCTTTATGGTCCACTGCATGCTCTTATCTGAATAGTTTTCCCATGTTTGACAAATGAAACAAATACTATAGCGCCATCTGGAGGCGAGAAAAGAATTGCCGTCTCCTGTGATCGAAAGAGCAGCTGATTGTTGAGATTAATAATTGATACTACGTGGAATGAACAGATACTTTTGTGAATGCACAACAATTATCATAAATTGTTCAAGATAAAATATTTCCATTATAATTTCTTTAACATGCCTTTCTTTTAAACGAACGTGATTGCTTAAGCCACAAAGCCATTCCCTTTCGTGAATGCATTTTAATTTTTTAAATATTCAAATCAATTAGATATATGCTGAAAATTTTAATGCCTTTTAAATGCCAGGAATACGAATGCAATCACTTCATGAACAATGCATATAGCGAAATATTTTCACCTGCCTTCCATTCTCCCCCACTACAAGCTGTCCTTTGTTATCAATGGCCACACCCGTTGGTACTGAAACGTGTTGTGGACCCACAACATATCTTAACAGTTGGCCATCTGAGGTCAGAACAACCACCCTGTTATTGTACTTGTCAGCAATGAAGATGTGACCCACGCTGTCTGTACACACTCCCCAGGGAGAGTCCAGGTATCCATCATCTGAGCCCATCTTCCCCGGTGTACCATACTGGAACACTACATCGCCCTGGGGGGTAACTCCATATACACAGTGTTCCTCAAAGTCGCTCACCACAATGGTGTCACGGCATGGGAGCACTGCAATGTATCGTGGGTCTTTACATATAGGAACAGCGATCTTATTGATAAGATTGTACTGCACAGCGTCATACACACAGATACATTTATTGTTCCTATCACAGACAAGTATGTGCCCATTGCTGTCCACTGTAACACCCTGGGGCGTAGCCATGTCACCCTGACCAAATGTTTGGACATGTTCCCCGGAGAAGGAATACACTCGGCATCCATCATCACACGTAACCACCAGTCTGTCATCACTGAGCACGGTGACACCTCTGGGATCCGTTACTTCAACCTCAAATATCGCCTTATGAGCTGGTGATATTGCAGTAAGTTTACCCGGCTGGTTATAAACTAGATATATTGTCCCACTTTGACTGCATGATGTGCCCGATAAATAACCAATGCTGCTATCAAACTCATTCACCAAAGATGCAGTATTTAGCCATTTATACTTCTTCACAAGAACAAAACATTTCACTGGAATTTTTTCTTCATTAGAAGTGATGTCTGTCGTTTTTGCAGGAAAAGAGGGTTTAAGTTTGCTCAGCTCTTTCATCCTAGCTTGGATACTTTTAGCGTGCATCATTACTTCCGTGTCGGAGCCATGTTGAACAAGCTGCTTGGCAAACTCGCATGTGCTGTGAATGGACACCTTCTGCAGTTGAACGCCATCTTTCTCAGCCTCTAGTGATTTTACGAGCTTCGAGGCGTGGTCTTTTGCTTCCGCTATCAACTGTGCAGAAATACGCTGAACCTCTTCTATAATATCCACCTCTTGTTGTTCTATGTCGGTCACCGTTTTGCTTACGTCGTCAAGCGCAGCTTTCTGTTGCATGGATATTTCCGATTCTGCATTTTCAAACAGTGAAATGTTCTTAGATAGATTGTTAAAGGCGCTTTCTATTTCCTCTTTATGCGTTTCTGCTATATCTGTAATGTCTACACAAGTGTGTTTGTTGTGTTTGGTGAGAATACAGTCACGACACACAACAACATCGTCATCTGTGCAATAAAATTTCAACTTTTCTTCTTCGTGCTTATCGCAAAGTAATGTTACGCCCTTCATATCCTGGACATGCTTACTCAATTCAGATACTGCAATCATTGTGTGTCCCTGTAAAAAAACCATGGCGTCATGCTGTTTTTGTCGACAGTTCTCACAGAAAAAATGTTTGCAATTTTGACAGTAAAATTGAGTAACTTGTGAGTGGCAGTTTCCACACATTTTGTCTTTACTTTCTTTTGTCAACATGTCCATCATTGTCCTCTTGGACAAAAAGAAGTTACGGACAAGTTTATCCAGTCCACCTGGTGGAACAGGCGCCTCTTGGCGGCACACTGGACACGTAATGTTGCCTCTCGTCCCTCTCACTGCCACGTGCCGGGCAACGCAAGCCAGGCAGAAAGTGTGATAGCATGGGAGGACACGCGGGTCTTTATACTCGCGAAGACAGATGTGACACGTTAGAAAATTGTCACTGGAGACTTCGTGGAACTTTTTGAATGCCATCATTGTCGTAAAAGACCGTTGGAATCAGTTTCGGTACCCAAATTTCTCCATGTGTCTGTAAAGTAGACTGTTACTTCTTGAGCTGTTGAGTTCCTATTGGCATATGATATAGCCCATTACCTGATTGACTGATTTCTTTAATTTTCTTAGGGGTTATAAACGGTAAAATTGGAAAGCAATGTATATCAAAGCCCACATGATTCCTTGACTATGTACCTTGTTATGATTAGATTGCGAGACCCAAAACGTCTAAGAATGCAAACGTGTTGGTTTCAAATGCCCTCATATAAAGTCGACTCTTCAATAGAATATTTACAAAAACTCATGTCCAAATCGATTTGGTACTTTGGTGAAATTTAACTGACCTCAAATTTTGAAGATAATTACATCAAAAGTCAACAATTTATCCTTTTTGAAGATTAATCAACAGTTTTGTGTAGATCCATGACGCGCCGTGTTAAAGTTTGTCTTACGTCGGATGTGCATAAATTGATGATCTCGTCTGTTGTTCACCCTGGACAACCCGACCAGGTGTAAATCAACCACTCAGGACTTCTCCATAGTAAAATCAATGCTTTTGTTATTATAAAAAACATCAATATAGATGTAACACAACACAATTTCTAGTTGAGATCGAATCGTTAGGACCAATAATTTGCTGTGTACAATTATATTTAAATAACATCAATAAAAATGTTACAAAACACATTCCCAAGTTGAAATCAATAATTCGATGTGTGCAGTGAACCTAGGTTTTATTTTTTAGGACGTCAACACTGCAAATAAATAATTTTACCAGCATTGAAGGATTTTCTGGTGAAAACCAATACGCCGATATTTAGAGAAAGAACATTCCATGGTGAGTAATAAACATGCAAGATTTCTGTCATAGATATCTTCATTGGGTCTAGGACATCAAAGTCATTCCGATTTTTTGACAAATCGATAGCTTTAGCTTAAAGTCAAGCAGCCGTACGAAATACATTTCAGCATTAATATTAATTTACGTTAATCTATCGATCTAAACATAAATGAATAATCCATTTGGTTATTTGTTGTGGCTATTTCTATTAAATTATTTTTGTTAAGCGCATTTGTTATTACAACGAGTTGGAATTGTAAAAAAAAACACGATTGATTACATTACCAAATGGCGTGAACGTGAATATTGTGAAAAAATAGAAATTGGTCCACGACATTCATTATGCAAAATCTAATGCAAAGCCTTTTACTCGTTTTAAGCAGGGTTAGCAAAGCAATTACACTCTTGACTTTTTTTGCACTGTGTGTATTTACGTTATCATACAGCTGGTCTCCTATCCATACCGTTTAGAATAGTAAACCTTTGTTGCCTAGGGTTTCACTGACAGTCTGGGGCTTTTAAAATGTTTGCCTTAAACCTTGCACTAACTGTATACACTTGGAAATATATGAGAACACAGCTCACTCGCCCCGATAGAGCCGGGGTCACCTGAGCTGTACGCCGCACCACGAGGCACTTGGTACATGTACAGAAGAGAGCAAAAATGAACCAGTTTATTAACCCAGGCTCTGATATTGTATTTAAAGTTTCTGTATAGTCACCTGACTTTCTGATAACATTTTGTTCACGGACATGTTTACTTCTCAGTATTAGGACAGGAGAATGTCAAGTATGAAGTAGTAAAGACCCTCCAGTTCTTATGGTTTTCATTGGAATTCACAAGCCTTTAACACCTTAAACATCTTTGCCAGGCAACAACAGGACGGACGACAGGCGAAACCAAATTCACGTCCATTGCATTTTTATATTCACCCAAACTTTAAATCAGATAACAGATTACCTACTTGCATTGTATTATAAATACATGTATATAAAATAAAGGAAGAGTGCTTTGAATTTTCATATATACACATTTAAAGCAAACAAATGTGGATAAGTGATGCTATGAAGAGAATCTGGCGATATGCACTAACTTGAACACTAGAGGGAGTGTGTGAGAACACACTAGCCTGTCCTGATAGCCGGAGTCACCAGAGCTGTGCGCCGTCCTACGAGGCATCTGTGCTGAAAAGTAAATTAATTACACTTTCACTATTTGAAGATAATAATAAAAACGGAATGAAATGAGTAAAAGAATAGGGAGATATTGAGTGTAACTTAAATTTCTTTAAGAATCATGATGTGTAGAATTTGTTTTCATGGTAGGACAAGATAGAACATGTCAAAGTCACATATATTCGATATGATTGGCTAATTTCTCAATAGATTTGTAAAGCACGTGCAAACTAAAGATGGATATGGTCCAAGCATGGGTAATTCACAAAATATTTTTAAAATTTGAAATTGAAAACAAGTCTCTTAGAAATTACTTAATAAGGACACATTGACTGGTTTGCAAATTGAGAATGGAACGTTTATTAACTTAAAAACCAAGATAAGAATAAATGCACTTTGAGATATAAGTTAAATGACAAAACTAGACGAAATATGAATTGCAAATACTGAAATGTGAACACAACGTTTTTTTTTTCTTACAAACTAAGGTATGAACACATGAATACTTTTTTCTTTCAGAAAACTAATTTTTCCAATACTGCGTTTGGATGTCGTGTTTTGAGCGTATGGAAACGGCACACAACGGGAAAATATCCAAGACGTGTACAGTATTCGTTTTATGCTGCATTATGCCCTATTCGCGTCCTTGTTACCTTAAAAGGTTTTGTTAGGAAAGGAAAGACTGCTAAGTAATCATTCCCAGCGGGCAAATTATGTTGTTTTAACGTTGAAACAACGTTGAACCATAACGTTGATAAGATGTTGGATAAACGTTGGATTTGAAAGTTGTATCAACGTCAGATAACAACATTGTATCAACCCCAGTTGTTAGACAACATTCTTGCATGAAAAGACATTAAATGACCTGAAATGTTTTTATTTTTGGTACAAAACACAGGTACACAATTATAACGTACACTGTAAAAACATCCAAGTGCCTGCTTTGTCTGATTTTTTCTACGCATTTAGCTCCTAAGCATGTTTTGCACCTAAGCATGGTACACCCTTTTAGCCTGGATGTGTTTAGCAGTAGGACATGTTTGATGGCTAAATATATGTAGGGTATATATGTATGGCCTTTAAGTTGGGATTTCCAAGGTTTAGTTTTATATATATAGTTATATTCTAGTTATATATATATATATATAAGAAAATAACTATATATATAACAAAGTCAGTCACCTCAACCTGTCTATCTATAACAGGTACCGAGAACTGCCAACTTTGTTAAAATCACTCTATCACATTTACAGCGACTTATTCATCCTAGTGTTAGCTGACCTTGCAAGGAAGTTTATTGGAATGTATTTCTGAATAACAAGTTAAGAAAATTCACTAGTTCACTAAAGACACAAAACAACTGTCACTTTTACTTTAAAACACTTTTTTTTATATTTTGATAAAGTTAGTTACAGTATTGATAAACAAAGTATCACGTTTTCAATAATTAATATTTTAAATTACAATCCATGTCTTGCATCACGACGACCAAACAACAACGTTGAGTCAATGACCAAAATACAACATTGATTCAACGTCACATTATGACGGTGTTTCGACGTGGCTGGATCAACGTTGATTTTACGTTGAATTTAGGTAGATCAACGGCAATTCAACGTATCAACCTGTTTTCAACGTTGAATCAACGTCACTATGCCTGCTGGGATTAAAAATCTAAATAGTTAAGGCATATGATGCCGATTGTGTTGCGCTGCTTTGAGCGCTGAAGATGAAAGCATGTCGAAACAAAATAGATGTGAAACGAAATTATTTATTTGTAAAAATTGAGAAAACGTGCAACAGATAGTACCCCCGGTACATTTGACATGATAAAGGAAGAATCACAACGCGTATTACATAGTACATTCAAATAAATATCCGAACCAAAATCAAGGCTCAAATATACGCTTGTAACTTGTCTATACATTAGTTAAACTTGATAATGAATGGAATTTAAGTCCACGTATAAAAATGATGTCAACCCCCCCTCCCCCAATATTTTCGTATGCTACATGTAATTTTTATCCAACTATTTTTCTTTCAATATGTCTGTCATAATAAAACAGCTTGTCTTTTTGGTCCCAATCAACGATGTTCACGTAGTGCACCTAAAACTGTTCACTTTTAGAGTTGTCGCCTGGTAACGTCTCATGTACTATTTAACTTGTAGTTACATAGCGAAATGTTTTCACCTTGCCTCCAATATCCCCCACTACAAGCTGTCCTTTGGTATCAATGGTAACACACAGTGGTACGGAATCCTGTTGTCGACCCATCACGTATCTTAACAGTTGACCATCTGAGGTCAGAACAACCACCCTGTTATTGTACTGGTCAGCAATAAAGATGTGACCCACGCTGTCTGTACACACTCCCCAGGGGAAACGCAGGTATCTATCACCTGAGCCGCTCTCACCTAGTGTACCGCACTGGAACACAACATCACCCTTGGGGGTCACTCCATATACACAGTGTTCATCAAAGGCACTCGCCACAATGGTGTCACGACATGGGAGTACTGCAATATATCGTGGAGCTTTACACATAGGAACAGTGATCTTATTGATAAGATGGTACTTCACAGCGTCATACACACAGATACATTTATTGTTCCTGTCACAGACAAGTATGTGTCCATCGTTGTCCACTGTAACACCCTGGGGGTAGGACATGTCACCTTGACCAAATGTTTGGACATGTTCCCCGGAGGAAGAATAAACTCGGCATCCATCCCGGCATATAACCACCAGTCTGTCATCACTGAGCACGGTGACACCCCTGGGACTTGCTACATCAATCTGAAATATCACCTTATGAGCTGGTGATATTGCTGTAAGTTTACCCGGCTGGTTATAAACTAGATATGTTGTCCCACTTTGACTGCATGATATGTCCCATATATATCCAGTGTTGCTATCAAACTCATTCACCAAAGATGCAGTATTTAGCCATTTATACTTCTTCACAAGAACAAAACATTTCACTGGAATGTTTTCCTCATTAGAAGTGCTGTCTTGCGTTTCTGCCTGAAAGGTGGGTTTAAGTTTTCTGAACTCTTTCATCCTAGCTTGGATATGTTTAGCGTGGATCATCACTTCCGTGTCGGAGCCATGTTGAACAAGCTGCTTGGCAAACTCGCATGTGCTGTGAATTCACACCTTCTGCAGTTGAACGCCATCTTTCTCAGCCTCTAGTGATTTTACGAGCTTCGAGGCGTGGTCTTTTGCTTCCGCTATCAACTGTGCAGAAATACGCTGAACCTCTTCTATAATATCCACCTCTTGTTGTTCTATGTCGGTCACCGTTTTGCTTACGTCGTCAAGCGCAGCTTTCTGTTGCATGGATATTTCCGATTCTGCATTTTCAAACAGTGAAATGTTCTTAGATAGATTGTTAAAGGCGCTTTCTATTTCCTCTTTATGCGTTTCTGCTATATCTGTAATGTCTACACAAGTGTGTTTGTTGTGTTTGGTGAGAATACAGTCACGACACACAACAACATCGTCATCTGTGCAATAAAATTTCAACCTTTCTTCTTCGTGCTTATCGCAAAGTAATGTTACGCCCTTCATTTCTTGGACATGCTTACTCAATTCAGATACTGCAATCATTGTGTGTCCCTGTAAAAAACCCATGGCGTCATGCTGTTTTTGTCGACAGTTCTCACAGAAAAAATGTTTGCAATTTTGACAGTAAAATTGAGTAACTTGTGCGTGGCAGTTTCCACACATTTTGTCTTTACTTTCTTTTGTCAACATGTCCAACATTGTCCTCTTGGACAAAAAGAAGTTACGGACAAGTTTATCCAGTCCACCTGGTGGAACAGGCGCCTCTTGGCGGCACACTGGACACGTGATGTTGCCTCCCGTCTCACTCACTGCCACGTGCTGGGCAACGCAAGCCAGGCAGAAAGTGTGACAGCATGGGAGGACACATGATTCCTTGACTATGGTCATAAATATCGTGGATTAATCCCTTTTTTTACAACCTTGTTATGATTAGATTGCGAGACCCAAAACGTCTAAGGTTGCAAACGTGTTGGTTTCAAATGCCCTCATATAAAGTCGACTCTTCAATAGAATATTTAAAAAAACTCATGTCCAAATCGATTTGGTACTTTGGTGAAATTCTATCTGACCTCAAATTAGGAAGATAATTACATCAAAAGTCAACAATTCATCCTTTTTGAAGATTAATCAACAGTTTTGTGTAGATCCATGACGCGCCGTGTTAAAGTTTGTCTTACGTCGGATGTGCATAAATTGATGATCTCGTCTGTCGTTCACCCTGGACAACCCGACCAGGTGTAAATCAACCACTCAGGACTTTTCCATAGTAAAATCAATGATTTTGTTATTATAAAAAAACATCAATATAGATGTAACACAACACAATTTCTAGTTGAGATCGAATCGTTAAGACCAATAATTTGCTGTGTACAATTATATTTAAATAACATCAATAAAAATGTAACAAAACACATTCCCAAGTTGAAATCAATAATTCGATGTCTGCAGTGAACCTAGGTTTTATTTTTTAGGACGTCAATACTGCAAATAAATAATTTTACCAGCATTAAAGGATTTTCTGGTGAAAACCAATACGCCGATATTTAGAGAAAGAACATTCCATGGAGAGTAATAAACATGCAAGATTTCTGTCATAAATATCTTCATTGGGTCTAGGACATCAAAGCCATTCCAATTTTTTGACAAATCGATAGCTTTAGCTTATGTTAGTCGAGCAGCCGTGCGAAATACATTACAGCATCAATAGGCTCATGTACGTTGATCTATTAATCTAAAAATATATAAATAATATATTTGACTATTTGTTGTGGTAATTTCTATTTAAGTTTTTTTTTGTTGAGTGCGTTTGTTATTGCAAAGAGTTGGAATTGTCAAAAACACGATTGATTACATTACTAAATGGCGTGAACGTGAATATTGTAAAAAAAGGGATTAATCCACGATATTTATGACCTTTGATGCATTAATAGGAAGTTTGTACAAATTATGCATGGCTTCAGACAAATGTATGTTAGTCAGAAAATTCAAAGAAAATACTGAAAATCGGACGTCCGAACAACAAACACGTTTCAAACGAGTACCGGTAGGGTTTAACGTGCTAAAGAACTCTCCCTTTTTCTCTGAAACTGAGGAAAATTTTCCATAAGTCAGTGGTAATCTTTATATTTTGTGTGCAGGTGGAATGTTCCAGACCTCATCGTGCAACCCCCCTCATTATCAAGACTAGGCACTGGAATTAAAATTCTATTTTGTCTATATAAATAGATATAATCACTACACTAGTTGATGTCAAAGAACTGATCATTAGAATGAAACATCCATCTATATAACACTGTAACTTAAACGCATGCGTGTGTGACAGTGTAAAATATGCAAGTTCAACCATAATAGTTGTTTAAAAAAA